ATAGCTATTATCAGAACGTTTCACGAGGGTTCATACTTTTGTAAGTATCATCGGGCGGGCAGGTATTATTGACATGGCCTGGGTACACTAAAATGTGCGTCAAGCATATACAGGGTGACAATTTGAAAAGTAGCAATCGTGAATATCGCCTAGACATAAAATACTATCAGGAAGATCTCAAATACGTATCGGAGGATTGGCGGGGATACCAAAATGAGGCCCTCCTTTGAAAGGTTTTTTACCCCTCTTTAGAGGCGTGACCATTTCATTTCAGCTACAGTATAGAACATGATCACTTGACTCTTCATCTGGAAAACACAAAAACAATTTTGCCTGGCAAAGTTAAAAAGTATTCATAGCTATTCTATTAAAACCCCATTAGGCTGAATTTACTTGGAACCACGTTGTGCAGCTGACACCCAACAGCAAATCATAATTCAACCATTTCTTGCCGGTATTCGGTAGTGCCCCACTGCTACACTTACCTTTAATAGTATGATCGTGATCGAGATCCTAACCTATTATGGCGAACGGCTTCCCCGGGGGACACCAATTACCAAAAAGAAATAATCAAACCCTGATTTGTTGCCCTGGATATCAGTGAAACGCAACTTCAATTGTTAAGAGAAAGTTATTGAAAACATCTACAGCCAAATGCTTAAAGTCTAATACCAAACATGCTCAACTAAAAGTAGCTTACCAAAATTCTGATTTGAAGGGCAGCTAGGATCATATAGCTTAGGTAATTATTATTTTTTCAATAGCTTATTACTCCACACATAGACTCCACAATAGTCTACTGCCGAATGACGAATATAAAAATAGATAAGAAAAGAAAGGTACAATAGCTTGTTTACATTACCCTGGTCTCTTTTTTTCTTAGGTATAAATATTGAGATAAACAAATCCTTCCATGTTACGCATTTCAGTATTTTGCAATAGGTTCAGATATAGTTGAAAAGTTTTAAAATGGCAGCAAAGTACAGTTAGTTGTTAGATTATCTGTCCAAAAATGCATTTTGAGTATATGTGGAGAATTATCTAATATTTTATCAGAAGAAATTAACAAAGAAAAACGTTGTTGGGTTCGACAATGGATATCACATGGTGCGTCTTCCACGTTATTGGCTGAACTGGCCAAGAAAGATCCAGAAGAATATCGAAACTGTATGCGGATGATAAAATTATAATTCAGTGAATACTTTCCAAAATAAAACCTATGATTTCCAAACAAGATCAAAGCTATCAGAAAAAAGTATCTCAGTTACTTTAGAGTATCTTAGTTACTTTATAGTATCTAAGACTAAGATACTGTATCTTAAATACTTTTTATTTTTTGGCAAAAGTATCTAGTATCTTAGTTACTTTTTAAAATTAGCTGTAACTTGTATCTTAAAAAAGTATCTTAGATACCAAAATGTATCTCAGATATTTAAGTAAGAGCGTCTTAGATACTGAAAAGAATCTGAGATATTGAAAAAGTGTCTTGGATACTGAAAAACGTATCTTAGTTAATGAGAAGTATTAAAATTGCCGGGAAGAAAGTGCCTTGAGACGTTTACCCAAACCCGCCCAACAAGATAAAACTGGTTCAAATAGTAGTAAGTAGATGGTGGGTCTGTTCTTACAAGAGTCTCTGACAATTTGCAAACTGTCAGTAAGCATCGCTCATACATGTTTTCCAATGCCGTCGTTCCAAGATAAATCGGTAACTTAACTGACAAATTGTTTCTGACAGGTTGCAAACTGTGTTCCAAGTTGTTCCAACCGACATGAGAACCGTTCTAGAACGGTAATTTCTAGTCGATTGTTAAGTAGAATAAACGTTGAACTTATTGAAAAATGGGTGGGCAACTAGAAATTACTGGTTCTGGAACGGTTCTCATGTCGGTGGGATAACAGAGCTTATTAAGATATGTTTGGCCAGTAAAGCTGAAGTACTGTATAAGAAAAGTCATGATAATATCCCGATTCCTGTTAATAAGAAAAATATTGTCGACAATGGTTTTTTAGAATTTGAAGAAAACAGTGTTCATGTGGAGCATTCCACCGATATGAGAAGCTGTATTGATTTGGAGATCCTACAATATACTCAAGACGAATTGAACCTTCTCGAATTTGGGATTTTTAAACTATAAAAATTCTTGTTTTTAAAATTGAACCTGTGAACCATATAAACAGCAATAGCTTAATCTGTTTAGTGTTTATCTGCCTGCTATTCGGAAATAATAATAAAGTATCTTAATAAGTATCTTATTAAGTATCTTAAAAAGTAACTTAAGATACGAATTTAAGATCCATTTTTTAATGAGTAACTAAATACCCAAAGTAACTTCAGATACTTTTTCGAAAAGTAACTTATCTTGTAACTAGATACTTTTTAAAAGTATCTTTGACAGCTCTGAACAAGATACTGTAATGAGATTTGCTATTCCAGCGAAAATTAAATTGCAAATTACACTATCATATCTAACGACAGGAAACAGTTATAGAAGTTTACACTACACTGTCCATTTCAATAAACCATTTTACATTTGGCACGTTAATACTTTCTGATCCAGCCCCCGATTTTTTGGAATTTTTAATTTTTTTCTTTTCCTGCGAATAGTTTGATCTCATTGCTTTTATTTTGTTTTTTATTTCGTTCACCCCAAAACCTTCAATCCCCATATTATCTTCTATCATTTTAAGGGCCGCATCCCTTGCTTGCTTATTTTTGTAAAAGGAAATTTTTGTGTTCCATAGACACGGATTATCTTGATATTTTTGCACAAATTTCACGGTTGTTTCTTCACTCCAACGAGACGACATTGCAACGTGATGCACTGCGCTGCTATTCAAAATTAAAACCATTTTCTATTCCAGGCTCTTGAATTTTCTTTATGTGGAGATATTTAGATATAAACAATTCAAGAGCCGGCAATAGACAAAAATTTAGACAAATGACTTTGAGAATTGAAAAGTAGAAATTTAGGGAAAATCAAGTAGATAAGTAGACTTAATTCAAGAGCCGGAAACAGACAAAAATTGTGACGGAAAAATTCCGATATCTAGAGAAGAAATTTAAGGAAAATTTCTAAAAAGCAGAAGTATCTGTGAGAATAAAACCATCATTCGAGTATTTCACAGATTTGAAGGGTTTGCCTAGGTATTTTCTGATATAAAGTAAAAGCTTAAGTTTTCGCAGATAGTTTAGAGCGGAAAGATTGCCTTAATGAACTTCCAGATAAGGATGAAATCTATCAAACTGCGTGAAACAGGGATAAGGTCAATCCCTAGGGAGTCCAGAGGCCTGAAAGCCAGGAAGGCACCAGGTCGCAAGGCAGGTGAATGAGGAAAAGCTTAGAAAGGCTGTAAATACCTTAACTATATATCATGACTTTTTCCCTTCTGGGACTGGAACACTTATAATAGAGTAGACATAATGAGAATTTTCTCTGTTTGGTGGTATTCCAAACAAAACAATTCAATAACCGGGAATAGACAAACATTTAGACAAAAAAATTTGAGAATTGGAAAGCAGAAATTAAGGGAAAATTGAGTAGATAAGTAGACCTAAATATCTTTTGAATTTTCACTGTTTGATGGAAACACCCCAGCCAGCTTATCAGAATGATCAGTGTGTCGTCAAAAGGACGTCCAATTTTGGACCACTTTAGTCTCATACTACTTTTATCGAAAATAGAACGTCGTACAGAAGACATGTTTTGGACGTCCAGCCGACGACACTCTTAGCGACGTCTTATTAACTAACATCCTTCCTTATTATGTCGCATTAGTTTCTCAATAGTTCGTCAATAGTTCTTGTGCTTCAAATATTGACACTTTAGTGTTGTTATCTGTTATCGGTAGGTAGGTACCCAATTTCAACATATTTTGGTAATTTAATTTAAAGTGAAAACCCTGAATTATTTTCCAATCTTGGAAGTCTTTTTGACGTCTTAAGTTGGTTTTTTCGACGTCTTAAATCGATAGAGCGACTGCAAATTAGTCAGAAAAAACTAACATCAGTAACATTTAAAAATTTTGAGAGAAAAAAAATCCGAAAAGGAAATTTAATTTTTGGCTCTATTTTTTACTGTCACTTGTGAAGTTTCTGAGATATTGAGCTTCAAAGTTGAAATTTAGTCGACATTTTGCCCAAAACTTTAAACTCGATTTTTCTCAAAAACCGCAAATGCTAGCGATTTCAGCGAACCACCATTCTGAAACTTCTATTGACAGCTACAATTAAAGATAATTTTGTTCCGGTACCGCTTTTGGTTACCGAGATATTCAAGTTTGAAGATTTGCAAATTAAAATTTAAAGGGGGTACCTTTAGGAAAAAGTACCAAAAACTGAAAATTTTTGGATTTTTATCAATTCTGACTTTTCAAATCTATAGAGCGAGTCCAAATTAGTCGGAAACAATTCTAACATCAGTAACATTAAAAAATTTCGATGAGAAAAAAAATCCAAAAAGGAAATCTAATTTTTGGCTCTGAACATTTTTTGGAATCTTGACATGAATAATTGCTCATATCTTCAATGATATTTGAGAAAATTGCCTACAATTATGCATCATTAAAAAGAGTATTAAATTCTCTATAAGCCCTGCAAAATTGTTTTTTGTAACTTGTGAAATTTCCGGGATATTGAGCTTGAAAGTTGGAATTTGCTCGACATTTTGTCCAAAACTTCGAAGTCGTTTTTCTCGAAAACTCTAAACGATATAGAGAGTTCAGTAAAGTAGAGTACTACTACTACTACTACTACTACAACTCAAAGATAGTCAAAATTACTAGTTTAGATGAGATATTCCAGATTGCTACTTTTCAAATTGTCACTCATCTGTATGTCCGATGTGGCCTGGTAGTACCAAATATATAGTGTGGCTCAGTTGTCTTAAAATTCTCAACGATTTGTAAATATATATTTGTAACTGAAAGCATAAAAATCTATGAATATGAGGATAGGTATCTACTTACTTTGAAATAATAAATTTAAAAAAAAGCAATAATTGAAATTCTTGCATTTATTACATTTATCCAAACAATAATTATACATACAAAGAGACCAGAATATTTTAAAACTATTGGAAGAAACATCTAAATCTAATATACATATTATAAAGTGTTATTAAAGCCCGAGAGAAATTTTATATAAGTATTATCGAAGGTAAAATAAAAATGACACTTTGCATAAAATGTTAATAATAATTGCACTTGATAATTGATCTATAGAAAATAAAATTCATCTATCTTTTTTTAGAGCAAAATGTCATTTTTAATAAACCAAATTTTATAAAAGCTAAATGGATTACCTTATACCTATAAATAGTTTGAAATGTGATAAAAATATCTATATAATCTATCTATCCCAACACCTATATAATTATCATAAGAAAAAATTTATTTTATTCAAAAAATACTCAGCAATAACAGCTTTGTGTAAAAATATATTTGAAATATATAGATACCAAATTTCTACAAGCATCTGCAAAAGCTATTTTTGTTTGATACCCTTTGTATGTATAATGTCTTTTTACAAAATTATTGAGACAATATTAATATTAATTAAAAAGTTTTATTGTCACTTAAATTTATTACTACATTATTGTTTCATTATGTCCAGGCCATTGCTTTTAAGTCGTCATTAGTCGTATTTGAAGTTGAGTTTATTTAAGCACTTTTAATAGTTATTTTGTGAGGTTGCGTATCTCTTTTTACCAAATATTTGCTGTCCGGTCTCCATCTTTGCGTGTCCGTTTCCTCTTTTTCCAGTTCAGACTCTAGAAGCTACAAAAACAATTAATTTGAATAGAGAAGAAATGACATAAGGTTAAACTAATAATATTATTTGTTACAATTTTTACATATATGTTGCACTGATGAGAGCTAACAAGCTCGAAACCGGTATGCAATAATGCAATTAATGCAGCATCTAATGATTGAAGAACTTGGTTTCTTTTCATTGTCTTAGGAGCTTCAATCCTTATACAAACTTATTGTATTAATTATAATTGTATTAATTATTATACAAACTTATTGTAAATAATTAATTAAAACTTTCTTTGGTTTGTTATAGACCATACAAAATCCGGTAGGTATAAAAACCAAAACTTTTCTAAAAAAAAAATCCTTTCTAACTTACATCTTTTAATAATTCTCGTAGTTTATCGATTCTGTCGCCATTTGATCTTGTTGGTAAGTATCTTGCATGCGTTGTATGTTCACTTATTAAAAATGTTAGCATTAGCACTGTTGCTAGGACGAGTGTCAGTTTTGATGTCATTGTTTAAGAGGTTTGATCTAAAATGGAAGAAATCTTCTATCTCAATCTGCATATATCTTAACTTGCAACTTGGATTTTATCAATATAGCATTGATCTTAAACTACGAAAAGTTGCATTCACTGATTTAGCTAAACATTTAGCCAAAATCAGTTACAGTATAAATACAATTATGGCTTGTTTAGTCAACTAAAATCCCAATTAGTTTTTGAACTATTCAGAAAAGTTTTCATAAAATAAATCACGTTGGTAGAGACCTTATAGTAGACACTAAGTTGTCCTTGTCAATTACTGCAATACCTTGGAATGATTTGCTTAAATTCAGTTGTTTGAAATTGATGTTTTACAGAATTGTAGGAATGGACTTCTTTCTATTATTGGTCTCTAATTTGAGAAGATTTGTGGTTCTTGGGCATAAGAATAAGAATGAAATGAGCAATGATGAGCCTCTATAGTTTTTTATTGAAGAAACAAAAAAAGACTAATGAAACGCTAGCACCGATGGACATAAAAAATAAGACTTAACTTACGAGCAACAGTATGGAATATGAAAACATATAAACAGAAGTCCAAAGAGGAATAAAACAAGCTAAGTAAAAGTGGATAAGAGATTGAAGTTCTGGAGCTATGACCATTTAAATTTTCATAAATGAACCCCCAGGAATCTAAACAGAAGACAACATAGTTTATGATAATAAACAGTTTTAAATCAGAAAAACCACAACTTTCTAATATTTTTAGATAAAAGTACCTACCAATTATAAAAAAACTTACCTTTAGACAACTGAAATATGCAAAAAATCACTATTATTCACTAAATACCCCAAACGTTAAAGGTTCTGATACCGCGAAAGACTTTTCTTCAAAACTAATCCCGAAAACTGGAAGGGATTTGTATTTAAACCCCGCTGCTGGATGCGTGGGCAGAAAGAATCCAACAGGGCCAACAGGGGTATATTTTTGGAAAAAGATAGGAGAGGAAAAGAGGTGAATAGTACACAATATGATACACTGAAAACTGAAATGGGCAATGCAACTGCTAAAATACAGAGTGGATCAGGACAGAATACTAGATACCTTATTCTACATATTGTAATGTTAGTAACAATAATTTTTGGTTGCATTTTTCTAGTGAATGACTTTTGATGATGAAAGTAATACTAAAAAGTACAGAAAAACTTATTGAAGAGAATAAAATGGCGAAGTAGAGTAATTTGAATTCTTCCAGAAAAAAAAATCATTCACAAATCATGGAAAAAGAAGATATTAAAACAAGCTTTGATAAAGTCCCAAATCATGGAAGTGTTTTAGGTAGCAAAAAATTTATTTCCAAATGGAAATCAAAATTGCATAATCCAGTATATCCACCCTGTATAGTCAAGGCCAATCCTGCCATTAACAAACAGAATACCGCCCAATAAAAACGGTGTTGCTTTTATCCTCTAAACATTTTATTCTCCATGACGTACCGAATTGGCGCCAAGGCGTCTCGACGCTCGGGCGTCGCTAAACACTAGCATTTTAATGGCATCTTCCTTGGCCCGGTTTTTGGTAATGGGTGATGGATGGATTTTATCGAAATGGTGTTTTGTCTGTATAAGCTGTTGAAAAAACACAGTTTGGGTTGTTAGAAGGAATTAAGAAAATGTGTCGAGAAGTCGAGATGAGTTTCTGTCGAGCTGTAATTGATGCGAATAGGTTTAAGTTTTTCTCAATTTACTTATTATTTTTTTTGAATCAATTATATAAGTTTTAATATTGCGAAATAACAAGATTTAATTTCTAGTTATTTCCTTTCAATTCACGTACGACCACAATTATATGAACGACATTGATAATAAAATTTCCGCGGATTCGCTTATTAGAAGCTTATTAGCCTACTGTATGAGGAAAATATCGCAAATAGTTCCTTGAATAATAAACAAAATAAAATCCCACTAGTGATTTGAATAATAGAACAAATAAAACAAGGAAAATCCTGATTTATTTTCATCAATAATTATTATCCAACCGGACCAACTTGCAAGACAAGGAGCTGCAACACCCATTCCTTGGAACAGAACCTAATTTCTTTGGTATAACAACGGTAGTACGAAAAGCCATATGATAGGGAAAGACCAGAATTGGGCAAAGGCTCAACATCCATTGATTTCTTTATAGATTTTTTTTATTGAAAGTTCCTCATGCTTTCCATACCTAGTTTTTACCAGCGAAATCAATTTAGGTACCTAGTTCATATTAACAATATCGAATTTGTATTATTGTTTATTGCGCCGAAAAAATGTACAGCGGAATTTCCATGCAACTACCATCCTTTATGCAATTTTCTATAAATAATTCAACGTGTTTCCGCCAATTATCAAATTATTCTTGTAATAATTAAACAATACTTAGCATTATAAGATACTTAAATCTTATAAAATTCTTGTTGTGCCAGGACAGGTTTGTATTGGGCAGCAATATATAAATATTAAATATATTATTCTTTAGCAACAGCAGGTTTCCCAGACTAATTAAATTTCGCCAGTCATTTGATGAGTAAAGAAGAGGAATCCCATGCCCATCAGACACTTATCGGCACGGCATGTCGGTGAGAGGTTGCATTGTATGTTGCATTTTCGGTCATTCCACCACGCGATAACAATTTATATGCAATTTCATACTAAAGACACTCGTGAGTGGGCAGCTTTCCGGTCAGGAAGCTGCGAATAGTACCTGCTACTCGTTTGCCGGCCGGTACTATTCAACAAACTTATAGTTAAATATGTCGCAAGATAATAGTAATAATTTTTTTGGTTGTTCGGGTTTGAGTGAAGAAGATACTACGGTTTTGAAGAGTTTGTTCGAAAAGGTTAGTAGTGAAGTTTTTTTTTTTATAAATATTTGCAGAGGCAAATTCGTGAGCCGAAAGAAATCACTTTTAGATTTCGAAAGGAAAAATACAAATATAAAATAAAACTATAGAAATGAGTTTATGGACAAAATGTTGCTTTATGTCTTTATTTATAGGCTATAATATTAAGCTTGTAAGGAATAACAACAAAATAATATTATTTATCAAGATATATTAAATTATGTTAAAATTCAGATAAAAACAAGATTATTCAGGTAGGTAAGTAGATACAGAATAGATATATTCTATTTTTTTACAACAATCATTAACTTTAATATCCAGATTTCCAAGACAAAATTTTATATTTTGTCCTCCTCAACCATATAAAAGGACTGGTACTTTTTTTAAATAAGATATTATGTGTATTGGTGCTTTTTGCTAGTCATGTAAATTGTCCCCGCTTTCCTCTAATCTAAGTTCTACCTTTATTGTAATCATAAAAATTATGTTATTTATGATACACATCATATTATCAAACCATAGGCTTTGCCATAAGTACCTAGTTTATCCTATTATTCTCTGTAAATTATTATGTTTTTAGGTTTTGTATGATTTCTACATTCCTTTTTCTCTTCTTCTTCTATCCCATGTAAACAAAAACACATAAATACATTTTTATGTCTTGCATCGTTTTGAATAAAGCCTACCTACGTGGCTAAAGTCAGTTATTGAGAGTAACACAGTTTTGTATTAACTGTTTTAAGATCAGCACAGAGACATCTTAAAGATGTCCACAAACGACATTCAAGACGTCTGCTTACATCTTCAAAGGAGTCTCAAAGATAATAAAGACATCTTGAAGACGTTATATGTTACAAAAATCAACGTCTTTCAGACGTCTGCCTGAAGACGTCTTCAGAACTAATACTCCGATATTATCATCCATTTATAACTTTCAATTTTTGTCTATTTCAAACGCTAGGCTCTTTAATTCCTGATTTCTTTTAAACGAAAACATACACAAAATTCATTTCGGATGAACAACATATGAAGAATCAGGAGTAAAAACTAAAAAACTAATCAAGATCCTGAAATTCTAAAATACGGGAATAATAAGAAATCAAGAACTTGGAATGGAAAAATTCAAGAAGAATTTAGAATAACGAAATAAGGAAAAATCAAGAGCCAGGAATAGGAAAAATTATGAAAATTCAAGAATTTAAATTGTGAGAGAAACATTTTCTTCTCAGAATAATCTGAGGTTTTTGAATACCCTTTCAAAATGCTGTTGGAAAGTATTTTGGAACGTTCTAAATGGCTTATTGAAGTTCTAAATTGTTTTAACTGGGCTTGAAGAATTCTGGAGTATTTTAGATGTTTTTCAGTAATTTCTGAATTATTCTGATAGATTTTTAAGTATTTTAGAGCCCTATTGAAGCTCAAAAGTGTTCTCAATTGGTTCAAAAGAATTCTAAAAGGTTTCCAATTTTAAATTGAATCCTAATTGTTCTGAAGTTTCCAAATTGTTCCAAAATACTCCTCAGAATTCTGATTTGGATGCGTCTTGAAGGTTTAAAGTTCTACAGCAATAAAAGTCGCTCTTGAACGCATTCTTGAAGGCGTTTTGTAAGCTTGAATCCTAAGATTTTGGCGCATTTCAAAATGCTTCTGGAGATTCTAGTGTGTTTTGGAGCATCCAAAAATGAGTTTTGAACTTCTGAATTGTTCCAAAAATGGTTCTGAAGTTTCTAAATTGTTCTGATGTGTTACAGAATGATGTATTTGGAAATTCTGAATCAAATTTTAGGTGTTTTGAACTTTTCAAAGGGCTTAGTAAGGTTCTAAAGTGTTGTGTTCTATAGCATTTTAAATGGTTTCCAGTAACTTCTAAACCAATTTTGTGGGAAGATCTTAAAAACGACCCTAAGATGTCCACAAACGACATTCAAGACGTTGTTAGACGTCTGCTTACGTGTTCAAATCTTAAAGACGTCATATCTTATAAAACTTAACGTCTGCCTAAAAACGCCTTTATGACATTTTTCTAAAACACTCTTAAAGATGTATTAAAGACGTCTTTGAATGTCTTTTCAATACATAAACCATCATTCACCTTTTAAGCGCGGTTATACCAAATAGTGTGGCTCAGTTGTCTCTAAGATGTGAATTTACAACATCTTATGGACGTCTTTTTCTGGTCTTTAGACGTTCAGACGTAATGTAGACGTGTAGACCTAAAAAAGATATCTTCAACACTGTGAGTTGTCTGAATATTTTGGCTCTTTCAGTCTAACTTTTGTTTGCTTTTACTTAAATGTTCAATTCACTTAAATTCATGTTTTGATTTTTGCTGCATTCAGTAAACTATCTGCGATTTGAAATAATGATTACTCAATTGAAAAAGTCATTTCCAAGTCTTTCACCAACGTTTGTACAACGTTGCAGGAAATATACGTAAAAATTGGACCTTGAATTCACATACTCATGGGTTACTTCACTTCTTATTCGATGCTTCTTATAGTACCAAAATAGGCTTTGTAACAACTAACAAGCAAACATAATACGAAAATAAAACAGCTGTGTAACTTTCGACAACTGACTTTAGTCACGTAGGCCTTATTCAAAATGATGCAAGACATAAAAATGTATATATGTGGGTTTTGCGTTTACATTGGACAAAGTATAAAATAGATTTGATAGGGGTAAATTGCAGGGATTACCAGGCATGGAAAACTTAGAATAAAATAAAATTTGTTTTGAAAGAAGTTCATACTAAATGGACTTTCATGATAAAACTCTTACAAATCTGCTTACCCAAGTAATATGGGGTAAACATCGTTTTTCAGTTGGGCCAATATTTATTCATTTTTGTTGCTAAATCAACACAGTACCAATATTGGGGCATCGTTAGTTTTAACTATGTGGAAACAATATTTAAAAATAATCTTGTACCAATATTGTTTTCACAGATTAATTAACTTTTCAGTAATTTGAATATTGGCCCAAGACTTCTCACTACAATATTGATTTATGAAATATTGGCCAAATATTAAATTTTATATTATCAAAACAATATTGTAATATAATATTAATTCAATATTGGCATTCACTTTTTTATCGATATTTAAATTTACTTCAAAAACTTTGTACACCCAATATTTATTTTCAATTTTTTCACAATATTGATACTTTTTGAAAAGCCCAATGAAGGGCCAATATTTACATACCAATTTTTACCAAGGTTAGATTTTCTGAATTGAAAATGTTGATCCAATATAGGGTATTCAATGTGCGCACTTGGTGTGCCGACCAAAAAATAGATGGAGACTATGTCTTCACTTTACCTATCTTAAACCTGGTTCCGGAATGAAGCCAAAAATTGGTTGTTTTCTCTCTGCGGGACCCTGGCGGGACTTAACCGTGCTGATGAGTTGTGATACAGCGAAACGGGTCCACGGATGGTCCGGCAGAGAGAAAACACTTCTTAGTCGGTCCTTATAATTGGTCCGTTACCTTAATTAAATATAATATAAAGCCAAGATTTACATACGTCTTCGGGCCAATATTGGTAATTTCAATTGGCTCTATATTGCATAAAGTTCTTGATATGATATTGATTATGTCTTTTTGGGCCAACATTTGGTTACGTTATTCTACCAACGTTGGTATTTGTTTTTGGGTATATATTGACATACATTCTTGGACAAATATTGCAGAATGTCCACATCTTTTATTGGGCCAACATAGAGAATCTGACTTGGGCCAATAAATCGTAGTTATTGTCCCAATATTGGCCCAACATGGGAGTAGTGCTGCTTGGGTAATGGTTTCAAAAAATAAGTTAGGTACCAGGCCCATAACTATGACTATTGACGATATATACATATACAGGGTGTCCGGAATAACTTGTACATGGCACTTTTTTCTTTTTTGCCCTGTCGACCTATCCGTTGCTATTCCGAGTTCAAAGAAATTGATGACAGATTTTCTGTAGACACTTGGTTGCGCAACTTTTTCCCCATTTCGTCCACCCTGTACTTTTAATGTTTTCCAAAATTCCCAGGTTCAGGTACATAGGTATCTAAAATAAAAAGACTATAAGAACTTTAGAGAATTATTTCCTCAGAAATAAGCAGCAGCCCACAAGAACACCAGAAAAACATCAAAAGACGTACCTATAATTATACAAATAAATAATACATTTTCTCCTAGAAAATCTTTAATATCACATCAGATAAAATTTTCAAGTGGGTTTTTCATTAAACTATTATAATGCGATTTTTTTTCTAAGTAGGTACCTACATGTTTATTTCAGTTGCTTGCAATAATTAGGAAAAATATCACTCGTAACAAGATTCAAGATTTTCCCATCGGATAAAATTTTACATTTTTGATCATACTTTTAAAATATTTGCATTTAATTGATACCTATAACATTTTGCCACTTTGAAAACTGGGAATTTAATTTTGAAAATAATATGTTTTGTTTGTCTTGTTTTATATGAGGTTATTTTGTGGGGACTCCCCGTATGAGTCATTGTCTGCCTGGTAAAACCCATGACTCATGGGTTTTGCCCATTTACCAAAATGAATCATCGTTGCCGAGTGCCGATAATTATTGCTTTTTTGAAGCTTTACAGCAGGTGAAGTTCGATTCTGACTTCGAGTAATAGGTAATGATAAACTGAGAAAATGTCTTGTATAGATGTAATTTCAAAAACTATGATGGTGAAAGTGAAAAGTCTAGGTATCAATAAGAAACACTTGAATTGAATTTTCGAAAGGAAAATAAAGTGTAACTCCAGATTGAAATTTCTACCTAACGCAGTCAATAACGACAATAACCCTCATAAACACTCTAATACTTGCTAATATTGTCAACTCATATAAAACTAACATTTTTCATAAATTTCTCTTGAATTTGAATGACACTTATGGGATTGTATTGTAAATAGAAACCAAACCTACACATACTATAGAAAACGTATAAAATTCCAATTGTAACGCATATATTAATAAACATGAATAATTATAAAATATTACTGTAGGCATACGCCTGCTCTGGCTAGTGGTTGGTTATCATTAAATAACGGCATTCCTGCATTTAATCGTGCAGGAGCAGACAGTGGTCAGTGTGGCGCTGGGGAAAACCCGTGATCGTGACTCATATGGTGGAATTTCTGGGGTACCAATAATAATTATGTAGGTTATTGGATAATACCCAGACCTTCAGTTAAATCAGAGCATTTTTTAATTAACGGTCGAAGACCTTTTACGGGTTTTTCCTTTCATGCATGGTACTCCCAGGCTGTCGGGTATTCCCTACATGAAAAGGAAAAAAAAGGGATGGTTGGTATTTTATAGTAAACTTAAACTTAATATGTAGGTATGCAAAAAAATAATAAAGTGGTATTCTTTTTTGCTAATCGTATATACTACAGGGTGCAAAATGTTATTTTTATTATAGTAGGTACTGTTAACTTTATATTATACACATTATTGTTTCAATTGTTGAAATTATCATATCGAATTATTCTAGTCTTTCCATCTGCTACAATTGTATTCCCAGGAATATTCAATTCCATCAAAAAACATGAAAGCATAAACCCGGTAACGTTCCAAAACAGATTTTCTCAATCTACTTGACATCAAGGTATGTTTCAAAGTTCAAATTGAGGAATTGCTAAGGATTTTAGTGGACATATCTTATTTTTTCCAACAATCAGAGCTGGGTTCTACTATCAGCGCAGAAAATATGCAGCTGCACTTTATTAGATTCGCATCTTTTGAAATAGCATCTTTTGCAAATTTTTATATCGTTTCTGAGCTTGTTTTTGGTTATTTTTAGATAATTTTGAGTTCCAATCATAGCCTTTTCTCCAGATGTTTTGCATAGGTACTTTCCAACTGTAAAACTAGAGTTATCCTAGGGGATCCAAAGAGACAGAATTTTTTGAACAAATTCTTAAGTAGGTACTTCAGACTTTCAGACATATTCTCCTTTTGTCTTCTGGATACAACTTCGTTCTAACAAATTTAGAGATTGTTGAAAGAGTACAATATCGAAATTTGACAAATGTAATCTTCCCAGTTCCATAGTTCTAGAGAATTCTTTCCAATTTCATTTCGCGTTTTAGTTCTTCATACACTATGGTGGACAATCATTACAAACATGAGTATCAGAGAATTCCTCGCAGTTTCCAAATTCCTCTAGAAAAAACGTTAAGGAGGAAACATTTCACTTATCATCTTGAAATGTCACTTTGGGATATCTACATTTTTCATGTAGCCATTCAAGGTTTTGAAAAGTCTTCTTTCTGCATCATTCGAGAATGTTTTCACTGGAAGTTATTTCATTATTCAACATTCAACTCAGAATAACTCTTTACCTTCTACAAAACCATAAGCCATTTGGATAACTCTTTATCCAGTAGAGTAACGGTAGATCTTTTATCCCACATAGCAACACTTTTTATTTCATCTATGAACACTTTGCTAACCTCCAGGACAAAAAGGACATGTGATTGCTCTTTTGATTGCTGATGGACTGGTAATTTTTAGGTTTTCCAGCTCTAGGGAGAAAATTCACTACCGATTCCTTGTAGCAACAATAAATTTATCATTTTCTATTCCAGCACGACACAAATAAAGATGGGTTTATTGGATTTGAAGAACTCGCTAAGCAACTTCACGAAGACCACGGACGACACGCTTCTTTGACGATAGCCCAAGACACAATCGCACATGTGGATGAAGATAACGACGGAAAACTCAATCCGAGAGAATTTTTCCATATGATTTATTTTAATAGATGTAGAACTGCTTTTGAAAAGTAAGAATTAACCATATACCTCATTGTCTTTTAATGATGAGAACTTTTGCAGATACGTAAGCATTTTTGCCTTAAGACCTCGTACGCAAACTAACAGATATTCGCTAAAAATTATAAATAGACAGCAAACTGAAACTGGCTTGTATGAAGACCAAGGCAAGATGCAATGGACCACCTTGGGAATGATTCTTTTATCAATAATACAAATAATATTTATACTATTCGTGCGGTACCTTGCAGAATCGCTGGTGTATATTTACGATGAAAGAGCGCAAATTTGGAGGTACTTTTCTTACATGCTTATACATATTCGGTAAGAATATCTGTCAATATTTATTTTGCTTTAATAAAAAGTTAATATCTATTTCAGCTATGAGCATTTAGTGATAAACTTAGTAGTTCAAATAGGTGTTGGTTTACCCTTGGAAGTTATTCACGGTTGGAGAGTGTTGGTTATTTACGCTGCAGGAGGTTTGGGAGGCTGTCTACTACAGGCTGCAGTTTATCCTGGCGAAGATTTGGTTGGTGCCAGTCCTGGAGTTTATGCTGTTTTGACGGCACATTTATCCAAAATTGTGTTGGTGAGTAAATTTAAATAAATAATATTTAGGTCTATATTATACGGCTTGATTTTTTTTAGAATTATCGAGAAATTTGCCATCCAATTTGTCAGATAGTAACTTTCGGATTATTCACTCTCCTAAATACCATATACAATTACTACATGTACAGAAATCGTCACGAAATCAGCTATATTTCGCACCTGGGTGGTGCCGCTTGCGGGTTTCTTGTAGGGATATTAATATTGAAAAATATTAGAGTAAAAAAGTTTGAAATTGTGATATGGCGGGTGACTTTGGTTACATATTTGGTTTGCATAGTTGTGCTAGTTGGTTTAGATATAAGTGCATCTTTCTGAGATGGTAGAATATCTCAGGGGGTGATTGAGCTCCAAAAATATTGACTTTATAATTATGTGAAAATGTAATATTAGTTATCACTTGAGTATCGCTGCTTTAAATTAAAGTACTTACTTAATTATAGTGCATTTACAAGATCTCTTAGCCTTAGAATCCCAAACGTACTTATTATGATTGAACTTAAGTACTTACCTATACTTACTTATTTATTTCCCATATTTTGTACATATCTACTTTTTTATTCAATTATGTAATAATATAAACACTTGTCCCATAAATTTGCAGTTTTGCTTTTATATTTTTTTTGGAAAGAAAATGGTCATTTATGATATTTCCTTTCTAGTCCAGGAGAACAGGTTGGACAAAGGAAGAAGGAATCTGAAACCTGACAAGCCTTTCCAATGGATGAGCAGCTTTCTTCAAAGTTTTCCAGTAAGTTTTAAAAAATAAATGCGTTAATGAGTCTCGGTCTTGATGAGCTTGAAAAAAATATATACCAAATTTTCAAAATACAATAAAATATACATAACACAGTAGATATAGAAATTTGCAGATTTCAATAAATATTGAGTCGATTTTTCTTTTCAAGACCAAGACTAAGACAAGACTTGAGACAGTCTTGGTCTTGTACGTGAAGTCTTGGTCTTAGAAGAATTATTAGGTCTTGATGTTGATCTACCAATACCAAGACTAGTCTTGTGGTGTCTTGAAGCCCTATACTCATGTCAGTGTCCGTGAAACTGAGTTTCTATAAGAGTTCCCGGCTTGTCTATCTGGAGACTAAAATAGAGCTGTTTTGGTATTTCAACAGATCAATGATAAATAGATCTTTTAAAATATTAAACAAGATAGGTCAGTTCAAATTAATAGAAATTCTTTCTTATTTAGTGGAGATAAGTTTGCTTGAAAAAACCTATTAAGTTCCTTATTGGTTTAGCCAACTGAGGTTTTTTCTTTTATGTTAATCGAGAAAGGATTACACCAACAAAACTATGGAAACGTTAGAAACGTACTCATGTTTTGCATTATTTCTTCCACATCCTTCTTCAAATCTTCTCAAATTCCTCCTGGAGAATATTTCATCTCAATTCTGTACGTATTTTGTAGGGTAGGCTCAGAAGAAATCACAGAATATTCAAAACAACCCCATCTGCCAAATCTCTTTCCTTATGATTCTTTTTGAGAATTACTACTACATATTATTATAGTTTAAATACTTTATTCGATATTCAGTTTAATAAATGAATTTACGAAAATATCACAATATACAAAATTTAAATTCAATTAAACTCTTATTAAAATATTTACAGATGAATATTCTTTCATTAAATTTTATATAAGTTAAATGCTAAGAAGAAAGTTGAACCTATTTCACTATTAACAATAAATTATCTTTGGCATAAAATCCAGTTTATACATTCCGCATTAGATTTGCAGAAAAATTCTACACACCCCAAGCAGTAGCTAAAAAGTGCCCCTTCCAAAATACATTCATAATAATGGCAACACCCATGAGAAGTACATAAACTACAAAAGCAGCCCACCAAAGGTATTTTTCCTTTTTCGTGGGCTCTACATTTTTCAGCACCCAAATACCCACGAGAAATCCTGCCAGGGCCCCTCCAAAATGGGCCGCGTATCCAATCGGGGTTTGATCTCCTTGATATCGGTTATGAATAGCAGTGGAAACGTCGGCAGCAATTAACAGAATGAAAATGATTAGTTGGATTATTGGATAAGCCATTTCAGACCAATTCTAAGAGTCAAAGCAATATTATCTTGGATTAGATTTAATTCATATTATTTATACAGAAATTAATTAGTCTAATAAGTTAACTCACAATAATTATATTCGAAAGATGTGCTGTCAAAATAGCATAAACTCCTCCACTAGCACCAGCCAAAAATACTCCTGGATCCATTATGGATGTCACCAGAGAACCAGCAACCACCCCAGCCATATATACTGTCAGTACTCTATACCAACGGTTCCTAAGCTCAAGAGCTAATCCTAGAAATATTTGAGTCAACAGGTTCATTGTTAAGTGCACCCATCTACAAAACAAAAAAAGGATTTTTAATTTAAATTTCAAATCACCAAGTTCCCTTACCCAATGTGCACAAACATGTACGTCAAAAACCTCCAACACTCTTGCCTTTTTTCTGGATTATAAATCAAAACTTCGGCAATGGGGCCTCCTCCGGGTTCAACAGTTCCTCCTCTTCCTACGTGTTCATTTAAAATGAAGCAAATTATTTCTGCTATCGAGACTAGAACCATGCAAACTGGTGGCGGGAAACAAGAGAACCCGTCCTCGTAGGTACCGTCAATTGAAGAAGTTCTTCCTCTACCATCTACTTCTATATCGCTGCCAACTCTTCTACCAACTTGCCTAAACATGCCGCGCTTGTCACGAGGAACTACAAAGTCTACATAACTAAAAAAAAAAAATCATATAGGTTTTGGATAATTGAGTGTATTTTAATTACCTTCTCATATATTGCCCGAATAATGCCTTATATCTTTTGTCGAGCATCATTTCTGTGAATTCGGTAATATTGATGCGGTTATCGTTATTCTGGTCTGCAGACTTTACCAATTTTTTTACTAATTTTTCTGAAACCTCGTTGTTTTCTCGGAGCATCGTTGCTAGTTCTTGCACGTCCATTTGTCCATTACCGTCTTTGTCATACTAAAGAGAAAAAGATCTGTATTTAGTTCGCAAAGAACGTTTAAAGAGTTCAGAGGAAATTATGATAAGGAAGATAAAAATGACAACATTTCTCAAATGTATGAAAATACCCGCCCTAAAACCGTATAGCATTTAGCTATAACCTTGTGCACTCGCATTTCAAATAGATAAAAATGCTAACAGCTCTCAAGTGAAAATAGTTTCAACTCAAACAATTATCACACGCGGAAAAATATAACTAGCTTTTGTTTTAAATTTTGCAGGACTTCATATTTTTGAGTCTAATTTGATTTAGAATAATTTGTCTCAGAACTGTTAGCCAATATGAGTTCTACAGCTACATTCATTTGATGGAATAGCGGAGTACCTATGATTGATTTCAACTCCGATGATTTTATAATTGAAACATTAAAAATATAAATCCAATTTGTATAAAATTAGAGCTCACTGAAAAGTGCATTTTACCTAAACGATGGTTAATTTATTCAAATTATCAACCTAATGCAAAGCAATTATAATAATAATAATGATAAACATAATCACCTTTGAGAAAATGCTGTCGTAGTACGTCTTCCATTTTTTTGACATCGTGTTAATTTGTAATACGAGTTTTTCAAATGACGCTAAAATGAATCAAACTAAACCTTAACAAAGCGGTACGCACTAAAATAATGGTTTAAAGTGATAAATCATTATCTTATTTACGTGATAAGAGAAGCTTTCTCAATAGTTAATTATTGTAGTTTTAGAAGGTGTGTCATATTTTTGATAAGTTAAACTCACCCAGTAAATAAAAATTCAGATCAGTGAATCATTGTATGAGATTTGAAGCGGAAATGCTTGAAAAAATAGCATCTCTGGAAGTTTAACTCTGAAATGAGCTTAAATTTTCAGAGTTTACAATCTTTCACTATATAGAATAAGATTTACCGAAAGGCGAAAATTTAGATTCCTGTCTATGATACAATTGGCGATATAATTTTTCGTAGTTTTTTAGAAATGTTTCTTCAAAGGTAATATATATTATAGGTACCATCCTTTAAACATGTTGATAGGTATTTCCAATTTTTTTATGCTGAGACTTCATGAGTTCAAATGATTATATGAGACTGTCTTGTCTAAACAACACCTACTATGAATTATTGTAATGATTTGAAGAGCAGCGGAAAAATAGAAATCATAAAATTTCCTTCTGTTTCCAGGGATTTTATCTCTGGAACTATAACTTTAAGCGGGCTAACATTACCTATCAAGATTCATATAGTAATAAGATTCCTATCTGATGCATTTGGAGACACAATTTTTCAAACTTTTTGGGCTACTTCACAGAAGAATAAATATTGTGAAAACAAAAAGGATATTTTTTGAGACACCTGTTATTTTTATCATTATTAGGTACGTACAATCGTGTTTCAATGACTAATACCCACATTAACAAATTTTAGATAACAATTTGAAAGAAAATATATCATTTATAAGATATCCTTTTGAAACCAAATAAAAGAGTGCTAATGCATAAAGATTTTGAAATTGACATCGATTTAACTCTTATGTATGAATCACTGAACTTACCTTTTCAAAGAGACTCCTGAAGAAAATCCTCTCATTCTCAGTCAAATTTGCTGAGTTCAAAGCAGCTGAACTATCAGTACTCAAACCATAATCAGAGCCGAAAATTGTCACTACACCATCATCATTATTATTTGAACTTGCCATGGTATCTACTTTAATTTACTACAAATTTACTGTAATTTACAAGGAGTAATAATTATTGTCGTCCAAGCTAGTTCGACCGCGTGTAGAACATTACTAATTCTCGTTAACAAAAAATTATGTCTTGCAACATAAATCTCCAATGGGTTATTGGTTCCTATATACTATCGTCGAACGGTACCTGTTTGTGAATAACCAATTAAGTACGATTTATTATGCGCGAGAATTAATAATAGATCAGTGAATACATTTAAATAATATTTGGGCGAAACTTTTGAAGATGCAGACAAAATAGGTAAGACGATTTATATATTTTTTGATTATTAATGTTGATATAATATTCAATAGGCATGTGCGAAGACATCCAAAAAATGAAAAAGAAGTTATATGTATTACCATAATGTCCATAATGCTTACTTAATTAAAGTCTTAAATCACATCTCTTAGGTGAAAAGAATTAAATTAAATATCACATGTAATTTTTTTTCTAATTGTAAGGAAATTTTAACTCTATAAACAGTTCGTTAACATTCATCCTAAAATCTATTTTGTCCAACAATTTTTAATATCTTATCCCATACGACGTAGGCTGGTCAGCTTATACTTGAAAATTTTCTAAGTATTTTGGCTTCATCTAATAAATTAACATCCCACATAATTATCGAATCTAATAAAATTTAAATGTTAATTTTAATATGTCTCAAATTGAATTTTGATTGAGTATTTTATTTAAATAATTATGTAATGCATTATTAGTTTAAGAAAATATAGTCCAGGGATTGCGGATTGGGAGAGCTAGTTTAATAGAGCTATAAGAAGATATTCGAAGAAAATATAAGTAGTACCTGCTACTTATAATCCTACATAGGGAAATTTTGTAATAAAAATCTCAATGCATCTAATAGTTTTAAAATTCCGTCTAACAGTATATCTCTCTTATTTTATAGGTATTTTGCCCATTAAATGCCTATTAAAATATAAATAACTTATTTTACATTTTTCATGAAAACGACCCACAGTAAAACTTTCCTTAGTTTTATATTTTCCACACAAACAATGCACACATTATTTCCACATGTTGTGTTTTAAGTAACCAGAAATCAACTACTGAGTAAAACAAATTATATTTTATATTTTTAAGCTGAAAACTTAATTATCCTTGCTACCGAGACAATTCATTATTATTTAGTCAATTTTTGGAAAATAATTAACATAAATAATTGTTTACCTACTTCAACCTTTAAGATGAATTTTTGTTTTGCGCGGCTCTTGCTAAATACAATAATCGAATCCGGAATCCGGGAACTATAGTATTTCTACGACTGACTTTAATTTGTTTATATCATTTAATAGTAAAGTACCTAGCACTTATTGTTTAGTTAAAAATGTATTGTTAGTTGGTAGGTACATAACAGCAACCATCAGTATAATAAAGTAAGTCAATAGTTGAAATATTCAATTTTTAATTAGCGGTGTCAAATTTTAACTATAATTTATCAATTATTATAATAATATGTATTTCATCGGTTATATAACTCACTGTACATTATTCCCATATGACATGAGACGCTTTAATAAGTGATAAGCCTTTTGGGATTATCGCGCTTGGTGGCATTTATAGCAAATTCTATTATAGAAATTTTTTAAAATTTTATAGTATTAAAATTTAGTTCCTTTTGAATACCACTCGATGTTTCAGGATTAACTAATACTTTTACCTGACTAAACGCGTTATTATACCAGCAACAACACGACTCCGAAGGAGTCGTGGTGTTGGGTGTTGCTGCGTAACGCGTTTCGTGACAGGTAATGAAAGTATTATCCGGTAATCCTGAAACCTCTTGTGGTATTACATTCGATTATACAACTCACTGTATATTATTCCCATATGACACGAGGGGCTTGTTATGTGATAAGCCTTTTGGGATTATCGCGCTTTGGTGTATTAAAGTTATACAACTCACTGTACATCATTCCCACATACGACACGAGAGGCTTAAAAAGTGATAAGCCTTTTGGGAGTATCGCGCTTGGTGGCATTTATAGCAAATTCTATTATAGAAAATTTTTAAAATTTTAAAGTATTAAAATTTAGTTTCTTTTGAATACCACTCGATGTTTCAGGATTACCTAATACTTTTACCTGACACTCAACGCGTTACCAGCAACACCACTCCTCCTTCGGAGTCGTGGTGTTACCGCGTAACGCGTTTCGGGATAGGTAAAAGTATTATCCGGTAATCCTGAAACCTCTTGTGGTATTACATTCGAAAATCCATATATCCAATATATTGTAAATATACAAGGTGTTTGGTACATCGATAGGAGGCTTTCAATAAGTGATAGTTGGGGGCATTTGGAAGCTGTTTCACCATATTTACCCTCATACATATAGTTTCGTCGTTTTTTGAGACATCGCCATCATCTCTAGAAATTTTGAATCCATATGTATTTTAACACATCACATAACTTAGGTTACATATTTCTTGTATCAATAATTTGGTTTTTCTTTCCGTATTGTTCTGAAAGAGTGCATGTCAGGAATATCGGAAAAAAAAAATTGAGAAAGGTTCAAGTGGTTACTACCAAAAAAAAAAAAAAATTGTTTTAGGAACGATTCTATGGATAAACAGCTTGCAAATGACCCCAACTATCACACATTGAAAACTTCCTATCGTTGTACCAAACACCCTGTATAGAAAGCCTCTTCTCATGCGCTTTCTGGAAAGTGAATATCTATTCTGATAACCAATGCTTCTACAAATGAAGATATTTGAAATAGCTACACATCATCGTAGAAATGAAACAAATCTTTTTTACGTAGAAATTCTTTCTTTATTGCTTTCCTACAATATCAGTCATGAAAGAACATGCCTACTTGATGTGAAGGAGACATTTTCAAAAATAAGTTACATTGTGGCCCCTATACTTGATGTTCTTTATTGCTCAAATAGATAGTTAAGTAAATGAAGACAATTTCCCATTACTGATAACAGCTTATTCAATCAGCTTTTCTACATTCTATTTTTAATTTACAGTTTGTTTATTTTTAACAATCTTAGTAGGAACCTCTAATTTAAAAAAGTATATCCTTATCACTAGATAAGATAATTCATTGAATTACAGGTCGGGTTATTAATTTCAATTTGTTGTATTTCAGGTGTAGGTCATTGTTAAATAATATGGTTTAATTGGGACAATTTAGGTCGAAAATATGGAATCCAGAAATAAACTCAGAAGTCACTATGACAACATTTTTGAGAAGGTACCTATGTGTTGGATTTGATTTATTTTATAAAGTTGATTGATTCATTTAAATATTTATAAATAATTGTTCATTTAAAATCAATTGTTGATGAAAATTTATTATAATCTAAGAATAAAACGATACCTACCTACCTAATTTTAACTTCGGTATTTTCTCAAAACTTCTTTATTATCATTATACTTACTTTTTCAGTATAGTAATGACGAAATCATGGTACATGAATTGGCAAAGATGTTGCGTACAAATAAAGATATTTCAGAAATACTTGTACAAAAACTTATAAAGGCTAATAGTGACAATAAAATCAACATGAAACAGTTTAGCGATATTATGCTTGCGGGTCACTATAAAGCTTTTTTCGGACGATATGTGAATAGGTATAAACATTGAAACTATACACAATCAATAAGTAATTATTTCTGTTGAAGTTATGTAAACTTATTGGTGCCACGAGATAAACGACACCATTTCAAACCAGTTGGTAGAACCATCCGACCCATAACAGAACTAGATGCAGCAACTGATGGTTCTTACGAAGACGGTTTCACTTGCTGTCCTCCGCCACTTTGCATGGTTACTGTTTCAATATTGGAAATCATTTGCTACGTTTTAAATGAGTATTTGGACGGAGCCGATCCAAATTCTCCAGGCACTGGTCCAACAGCTCAACATCTCATTTTTGATCCTCAAAAGAGGCAACAATGTTGGAGGTTTTTGACTTATATGTTTGTCCATATAGGGTCAGTATATTATTTTGTTTTCAATATTTTTTTGTAATTTCTTTGTAGATCGGTGCACATTATCACAAATTTGATCATCCAAATATTCCTAGGGTTAGCTTTGGAGCTTAGGAACAGTTGGTGGAGGGTGCTTACAGTGTATACTGCTGGAGTAGTTGCGGGTTCTTTAGTAACGTCTATAGTGGATCCCAGGGTTTACTTAGCTGGAGCTAGTGGAGGTGTTTACGCTATTATTACGTCTCATCTTTCAAATGTTATAATGGTAAGTGAATTATGTATTTGAAAGACATTGAATTTTGTACAAAATCTACCTAGTTTGCAATGGGTTGGTATGAGTTTGGTGTAGGTACATTATTTCATGATACTGATGTCAGTCGTAGCAGCTTTTTTGAGGAGCAGAACTATTATTTTTCATTTTCTTCGCATTCTAAAAACATAAGTTGAAGTTTTTCGCCAAGGATAGAAATTGGAATAAGCTATTTTGTTTCTTTTAACAGTTTAGCTATCTCTTAACTCATGCATCTTCGAAATCAGCATTTTCTCTTTCTCGAAGCTTATTGATTTGAGTCTCCGTATCGGAATCTTGCTTTCTTTGGACTGAGTTGAGATCACATTAGAAGATTTCCACAACTAAACCTTCACTTTTTATTGCCTTGGTTCATTTATTCCAGTTAACTTCGAAATAATTCTCCAATCATATTTAATTGATGATTGATAGGCATGAAGCTTTACTTGTATCAAAAAACTTCTTATTTTATTGATGATCATTATCTATGGTGAATCTGTTAATATTTTCACATATATAGTAGTCTATTATGTCATTTATCTCTACTCTATGAAAATATCTAGCACACAGATTTTGTTGTTCTATATATGCATATAGACTCTCTCCTTTTAGGCGGTTACACACGGACGTGGATGTCTGAAAACATGTACGCACATACATGAACGTGCAAACAAAAACATCAATGTGTATGCAAAATACCGTCGCGTTTTTGAATGTGCAATTTTGTATGCACACTCGGAATACTGTAGCAAGAATAGCAAGACTGCAGTTTTGTGCGAGCGTCTGTACAAAAGCGCCATGCACGTTGTTGTTTGCACGTTGATGTATGCACGTATATGTATTAAGACAACCACGTCCGTGTGTAACCGCCCCTTGAGGCTCTGATCCATAGGCGCAACTAGGGGGGTGCTAAGCACCCCTAAAGCAAAAATTAGCACTCCTATTCGGCATCCCACCATAGCACTACCCAACACTTATATAAAAAATTAGTGCAACCAAATTATTTTATGTATTTTTTTTGCACTTTTTGTACTTACTTACGTCATCGATGACGTCATAATCTAGAAAAAAGTATTTGTCGTTGATTAATTCATAGAGCACGTTCGCAATTATTATTGTTATGGAATAAAACATTTCAACCGGGGCCCCGGTATTACAATATTACCTTAAAATCAAGACTTACCCTAAAGTATAGGGTTTTTATGTTATATTTAGAATGACGTCATCGAACAAGGTCAGACAATGTTGTCAATGTCTATGTTTATTCTATATCTTAAGGTGACATTGAAATACCGGCTCTTAAAAAATCATTGGAGTCCCAAATATATAAAAATTGACTTTTTCAAGTAAAATTAAGGAAAATTCACCTCTTACATTTTAATTTTTTTCTGCAAAACTTGCAAAGAGAAAATTTTGAAAATTTTCCAGGAATAAGAGGAAAATGAGAAGCTCATTTTACGAAAATTTCAAAATTTTTCAGTAAAAAATTAATCCAGGAAAAATTTTGAAAAACTTACTTTTCAGCAAAATTAAGGAGAATTCATCCTCTTACATTTTATTTTTTTTCTAGAAATCTGGCAAAGGGAAAATTGTGAAATGTTTCCAGAAGGAAAAGAAAAGTGAGGAGCACATTATAGAAAAATTTCAAAATTTTCCAGTCAAAAATCACACCAGGAAAAATTCTGGGAAAAAAATTGTGAAAATTTTCCAGAAAAAGAAGAAAATAAAGAGCTCATTATAGCAAATTTTGTAATTTTCGAAGACTCGTAATTTCCGTAATTTTTCTTTAGAAATTTTTTAATTCCTGTCATTTCTCAAATAATTCTTATAATTTTTTTATTAATTCCTGTTGTTCTTCAAATTTTCGTAATTTTTTTATTCCCGTAGTTTCTCAGAAAATTCCGTTATTTTTATACCACGTTTTTGTATATTTCAAAAATTAGTAGGTAATTCCCGTATTTTTTCTGGGCATTTTTGAAAATCATTTCCCGAAAGCCTTTGTAATTTCTAATTCTCGTAATTCCCGTAACTTTTTCGTAATCCCCGTAATTTTTTATAATTCTCGTAACTTTGATAGTTTTCGTAATTTTCAATTATCGTAATTTTTTAAATTTCTTGGACGTTTTTTGAAATTTTATAATTTCCCGGTCTTTATAATTTTTGTAATTGTAATTCCTGATTCTTGTAATTCTTGTTATTTTCTAACTTTTTGAAAATCATCATAGGTTTTTTCGACTTTTGCAATTCGTTAATAAATTTCCGTGATTTATTTCCAGAATTTTCGTACTTCTGTAATTTCCATAATTTTTTTAAAAATTTAATTAATTTCGGTAGTCCCGAAATTTTTCGTAATTTCTGCAATTTTTGCAATTCCCGTAATTTTCGTTAATTAACAAATTCCTTAATTTTTGTGTTATTTCCGATATTTTTTTTTCAATTTTTCGTAATTTCCGTAATTTTTGCAATTCCTATAATTATTCTAATTGTCCTAATTTTTTTTTATGATTTTCCTAATTTCCGTAATTTTTTATGATTTCTGTTATTTTTTTAATTCCCGTAATTTCTTTATTTTATTTTTCAATAATGATAATTACCGTAAGTTTTTGAAATTTCCGTTATTTTTGAAATTCTCGTGATTTTTATTATTTTTTCGTAAAACGTAATTTCCAATAATTTTTTGCAATTCTACGTAATTTTTGAAATTCGCGTAATTTTTTTCAATAATTTTCATTGTTTTCCGTAATAGGTACATACTCGATTTTTTTCTAATTTTATAATTCTTCTCTCAATTTTTTTAATAATTAATGTAATTTCCATGATTTTAGGAAATTTTTGTTATTTTTGTTAATATTTTTCCATATTACATAATTTTCTAATAATTTTCGTAATTTTACATTTTTGAAATTTCCATGATTTTTTTTCGTAATTTTATAATTCTCCTAATTTTTCAATAATTGTAATTCCCGTATTTTTTTGAAATTTCCGTGATTTTTTGTAATATTCGTTATTTTTCATTTTTATAATTCCTGTAATTTACGTAATTTATCAATGACTTTTGTAGTTCTACGTAATATTTGAAATTGCCAATAATTTCCATTGCTTTTGTAATACTCAAATTTTATAATTCTCCTTTTTAGTTTTTAATAATGGTGGTTTCCGTAGCTTTTTAAATTTTCCGTAATTTTTTCAATTCTCGTAATTTTTGTTACTTTTCCGTTATACGTTATTTTCCAATGTTTTCGAAATTTTAATAATTTTTGAAATTCCCGTGATTTTTGTAATTTATTCTCGTGATTTTTGTAATTTTTTCGTAATTTCCGTAATTTGCCAATGATTTTTGCAATTTCACGTAGTTTTTGAAATTCCCGTAATTTTTTAAAATAATTTCCATTACATAAGTATTTCCATTCCCGGTTTTTTTCGTAATTTTGCAATTCTCATTTTAATTTTTCAATAATTGTAAGTGCTGTAATTTTTTCAAATTTTCATGATATTTGCAATTTTAATGATTTTTGTTATTTTTTTGTAGTTTCCGTATTTTATGTAATTTTTCAATTATTTTTGTAATTTTACATAATTTTTAAATTTCCAGTATTTTTCTTTTTTTTAATTTTCATTGCTTTTGTAATACCCGATTTTTTTGTAATTTTTTAATTTTCCTTTTAGTTTTTTAATAATTAATGTATTTCCCGTGATTTTTCAAAATTCCCGTGATTTTTGCAATTTTTCCGATTTTTTAAATTTTTTCGCGATCCCTGTAATTTCTATAATTTTTCAATTTATTTTTATTAATTTTATATTTTCCGTATTCCTGTATTTTCCGTAATTTTTTAATGGAATTTTTATAATTTTCCTAATTTTTGTGATTTCCGTAATTTTTTCAGGAATCTTCGCAAATTCGGTGATTTTTTGATTTTTTCGTAGTTTCTAATATTTTTCAATTTTTGTAATTCTTTAATAAATTATTTTCGTAATTTTTTAATTCTTTTAATTTTTATAATTCTCATAATTTTTCAAAAATCTAGTAACTTTTTGTAGTTTTGAAATTTTTGTAATTTCTGCTAATTTCAATTTCTGTAATTTTCGTAAAATTTTCCGAAATTTTTGCAATTCTTATATTTTTTAAATTATCAATTCAAAACTATAGGAATTATATACATAATTCAAAATTTCAAAAAATATTCTGAAATTACGGAAATTATTCGAATATTACAGAAATTACGAAAAATAACGGAAATTACAACAATATTACAGAAAATTACAGAATTTACGAAAAATGGAAATTATGAAAAATTACGTGAATAACGAAAAATTACGAGAATTAATGGACATTACGAAAAACTATGAAAATTACAGAAATTATTGCAAAAATTTTAAAATTTTCAAATGAAAAATCACTCCATGAAAAATTCTGGAAAATTGACTTATTAAAGCAAAATTAAGGAAAATTCACCTCTTACATTTTAATTTTTTTCTGGAAAACTGGCAGAGGGAAAATTTCAAAAATTTTCCAAGAAAAAAGAGGAAAGTGAGGAGCTCATTATAGGAAAATTTCGAAATTTTTCAGTGAGAAATCACTCTAGGGAAAATTTTGGAAAATTGACTTTTTTAAGTAAAATTAAGGAGAATTCATCCTCTTACATTTCAATTGTTTCCTGGAAAATTGGCAAAAGAGGAAAAAGAGGAAAGTCAGGAGTTCATTATAAGAAAATTCCAAAATTTTCCAATGGAAAATCGCTCCAGGAAAAATTCTGAAAAAAATGATTTTTTCAAGTAAAATTAAGAATAACTCATCGTCTCACATTTTAATTTATTTCTGGAAAACTAATAAAGCAAAACTTGTGAAATTTTTCCAGAAGAAGGAAGAAAATGAGTAGTTCATTATAGGAAATTTTCAAAATTTTCTAGCGAAAAATCACTCTAAGGAAAGTTCTGGAAAATTGACTTTTCTAAGCAAAATTCATCCTTTCACATTTAAATTTTTTTTTGGAAAACTGCTAAAGGGAAAATTTTGAAAATTTTCCAGGATAAAGAGAAAAGTGAGGAGCTCATTATAGGGAAATTTCGAAATTTTCCAGTGAAAAATCACTCCAGGAAAAATTTAAAAAAAAATTGACTTATTTAGGCAAAATTAAGGAAAAATTCACCCTCTTATATTTTAATTTTTTTCTGGAAAACTGGCAACATGAAAATTTTGAAATTTTTACAGGAGAAAGAGGAAAGTGAAGAGCTTATTAGAGGAAAATTTCAAAATTTTCCAGTGTGAAAATCACTCCAGGATAAATTTATTTATATATTTTCGGGTAATTGAATAAATTCTATTCTAATTTACAAAATGTATTACAAAACAATAATTCCGAAGGTGCTCCATGAATTAATCTATGACTTAACTTTTTCTCTAAGTTGTGACGTCATCAATGATGTAAGTAAAAACCTTCATGCCATGCAACGAACTATATGTTTGTTTGAAATTTCAGACATAAAAAAAACCTATTTTTCAAAAAAAAGGCAAATGATGACGTAAGTACAAACCCTTGTGAAACTAACTTTTTTTACGCGTCTCATTTCCTTTCCATCAAACCCCATCATAAAAAAAAAAGGTGCTGTAGCACCCCTCAAATTTGGAGCCTAGTTGCGCTTATGCTCTGATCTGAATTGAAAATAAGGGTGATAGTTATTGGAAAAGCAAGTATTTATTCAACTAGAAGCTAACGACTCTTTGTGGGATATAGAATGTTGAATAACATGGCTACAAATTTATTTCTAATTATTAATCGAAAATGTTTTCTTCCAGAATTGGAGTGAAATGTCTTTCCCCGCAGTACAATTCTTCGTTATACTACTATTAATCTCTGCAGATGTAGCAACTTCGATCCATAACCGGTACTTTTTAGGAAACCAAACCCCTATCGGTTATGCAGCGCATTTTGGAGGAGCCTTGGCCGGATTTCTTGTGGGCATTTGGGTGCTGAAAAATGTGGAGCCAACTGAAAAGGAAAAGTACCTTTGGTGGGCCGCAATGGTTCTTTATATTCTACTTATGGGCAGTGCCATAATGTTAAACATATTTTGGAAGCAGCATTTTTTACCGACTGTTTGGAGTTAGTAGAATAATAATGATTATATATTTTGTACCTTGAAGTTTTATTGAATTAAAGGAAGAAATCTACCACCAAATTCAACTTCAAATCTTTTATTGGTTATTGGACAATAGAAAGCAATAAATTCTATCACAATTTGTTAAAACTTATGTACTAAATATTGCTAAGTTTACGTACATCAAATATATAAAAATAAATTGTCTTGGTCCATTATAATTTTTCAATCTTACTGTGCAAAGGAAGCTAATTTTAAACCACTTTCAAAATTTATATAAAAGTCAGCTGCATACAGGGTGCTCTCAAAAACTTTTCACCTAGATCTAAGCATTGAGAAAAAAAAACCTATAAGTTATATTACACAAGGTGAATATATAGTTTCTATTTGAACACCCTGTATAGGTTATTTGCATTCACCACAAAATTTTTCATTTGTGGCTAGTATCACAAAACTAATAGGAAGAATATACTTTTAGGCACAAATTATGATTGCAATATTTACATATATACCCTGTTAATTTTTAAATAATTGGCAATAGTGGAAACTTTTAGGCCGATTGTCCACAGTCAATTTGAGTATTTAAAATGTGATTCCTAAATAATAAAAATTATTAATATGTATATGGTATTAATAATGGTCCTAATAATTTAGTTATTTAATGGAAGTCAATAATTTAATTTCATCATCTTCATCTGAGCTCGAAAGATAGGTGCGTTCTATGTCTGCAAAATCATTCTCATCATCATCATCTTCATCGTAATAAGGTCTTGTAATCGGTTTTCCTATACGTTGAACTAATTATTTCATTAAACTGCCTGCCTTAAAACAATCTTAAACTTACGTCCGATAGGTCTTGAAAATATTTCCCTCTCTTTTGAATCTTCAAGATCGTCTTTCAAATCTCCATAAAGTTCTTCTTGCGATAGTAATCCATATTCACTAGAGTTGTTTCTGTTTTTACATATCATAAAACAGAATATTCCCATGCCCAGAAATCCAAGTAGAATTAGGCCTAATACAGAAAACTATATTTAAAATGTCTATAGTAAAACTAACTTTTTTTACCTGATAAAGTCACAAACGCCAATCGTGGGACACCCCAATACGTGTTATCCTTTTTCATAGTTAGTATAGCTACTTTAGGTGAGTTTGCATCATTCACAGGTACCAGTTTTACAACTTTAAAATATCTATTAGCATCGATAATCACTGTATAAGTACCTAGAGGTAGAGGCACTCCATAACGTCCATTGCTGTCCGTATGGATTGTTATGTTTGGTTCTCTGATATATATTTGGGCATGGTCGACAGGGTGGTTTTGAGTGTCTAAGATGTAGCCTGAAAAAAATATTGAATTAATAAATAGTCATTGATTATCATAAGGTTACCTTTAATTCCACTTTTAATTGGTCCTTCGAATGGTTCCCGGATCCATAAATCAGTTACTGAGACTTTATCACTGCTACCGTACTCAATAGTGTATACTTTATCAACAGTTGAAGCAGTAAACTTATTATTATTCATTTCAGAAATTTCATCATTTGCACTTTGTCTCAAAACAACATTGACTTCAGTTAGCGCTAGTTCTTTGACTTCAAATGGTAAAAATTTATTTTCGTAACCGTGACAAGATATCACCATTTTGTATGAATCTGGCGGCAACATTATTTTATAGTGGGCTTTGATTTTGGTTACTTCGTGAGTTTCTTCCATATTGACGATTTTTACGCTGGCATTGAGTAAGGGGGTTTTGAGTTCGTTCACCACGGTTCCTTGGACACCTATAAATGTATGTAAACATCACTGAATTTACACTTAGATTAGAAGATTTTTACCTGTTCTTGTAGCATTCAAAATACTCATCACAGGATCCAAAATATCTCTCCAAATATAAGGCAGATTTTCAACAGCCGGATATTCGCAACAGCTCACTTTCAAAGTTAACATAGGAGTATAGTATTCCTTATATAAAAAGTCAGTTACGATACCATCAGTGCCTGTTGTACGTTCAGGACAATTTTGGAGTATGTTTAAATTTTTCAAATAAGTATTGGCTAGTTTTTCGTATTTTTTAACAGAATCTTGAGTAAACGGATACCTAAAATGTTAGATTTAAATAAAAAAATAAATAATAAGGTACACATTTAATTACAAGACTCCACTATTTCCTCCTTCAAAATTCAATACTAAATCAAACTTTTCTTCTAAAAGCAAATGCTTGAAAGCATTAGTGGTTGCAACAGTGTCTTTGTTGCTTGTTAACCGATTGTTTAAGTCTAAAACTTGTTCCCCAACTTGTTTAAAATCAGCTGTAATGTTGTTACACAAATATTTGTCTGGTTTTGATAAACCATCAGATTCTTTATTAAAATCGCCCCAAATCTACAAAAAAAGTTTTACAAAAAATATTGCCAAACAAATAATAAATAAATGCTTACCTGTTCAAATGCTTTATCAATAGCAGGCACAATATGTATTACTGAATTAGACAGTATGCTTACTATAGTAGGATCACTAAATGAAAGACCTTTCAATAAATGACGTGCCAAATTAATGCTAATCTCTCTTCCAATTGGTTGGGTAGCAAATAGATTACCAATCACTCCAATGTGAAATTTAGTTTCATCCGATTGCTCAACATGTTGTGTTATTTTTAGCCAATGAAGAATCATAGAAATCATATCATCGCCTCCATGAAATTCAGCAGAATCGGGAAAGTTATTTTCAAAAGAAGATAAAATGAAATTCAACTCTGACCCTGAATGGTATTTTGGATGGAAAACGTTACTGATTTCGCCAAAATCGTAGGCGCTAGCCCAATGCTGTGGGTCGTCTTTCATTAATGTTGGACTTAGTTCTACACTTCCTGATTCTGGTACAATCTTCAAAGAAATTGTTTAATTAGGATCAATATTTTTTAAATTAATATCGCTTACTATTTGAGTGGTGTAGGATTCGTAACCTCTGGCTGCGAAAGTGATATTGTATTTGCCAGGCAATAATAGTCTCCAATAGTCGCCATCTTTGGCTGTTTTCACGGTGTGCTTGATTCCTTCGACTATTACTTCTACGTGGGGGATTCTTTTGCCGATTGTACTGCTTACGAAACCGTGTACACCTATATGGACCTTCAAATTAAATTGTCAAACATATTATAGTCAATTCAAAAATAAATCACTAACCTGTTCCATATAGGCCAATAAAGCTTCCCTATTATCCAACCAATACTTCGGTAAATCTTTGGCAAATGGGTATTTGTAGCATCCAATTTCTAACGTTAATTCCATACAGCCGGCTACCAAATAATTCCAGTCTTGCATGCCTCCAGTTACCTGGTACCACTTGGCACCATTGGTAATGCCCCCTTTGAATACTTCGTCTGGAAACATTGGACAAGGTTCCCCGTTGTGCATAGTTCTGTGGGCCTTAAAAAAAATTATGAGAGTAAAATAAATACATAGATACACAATAAATAAGATCCATATCAAACAAAGAGCCAATTCTTACCTTGGAGTAGGTGCTGGCTAAATATTTAAACAACTTATTATCTGGAGATGGATTTTCAGTATTTATGGGCGTGCCAGGAGGGCTATCGTCAAAGGGATAGTTGGCTACCAAAGCACCGTTGTGAAGATTGGCCGATAATACAAAAGGTTCTGAAGCAATCCATCGCATCATCAGTTGAGTTTCCGGCTCTAGAAACCTATTGAACTAAAATGAATTGTTAAGTTTTAAAATTGCAATACACAATAAGCATATAATTACCGAATTGGTACCGTACTGATCAGGAAAATTCCTGTTTAAGTCCACATTTCCAGCATTGTTTCTACCAAATACACTAGTGCCGTCACCTGAAATCTATTGTATAAAGAATAAATGTTGTATTTAAGAGTTTTAGCTTGCCTTCGTGAGCCTTTTCGTATCCATCTGGGTTCATTGTAGGCATCAAGTGAATTCTAGTAGTATTCATTAGTTTGGTAATCCTTTCATCAGTGCCATAACGTTCGCACATGTATTTGATTAAATAAAGAAGCAATTCTCGTCCTACTACTTCGTTGCCATGCATGTTGGCTACATACTTGAATTCAGGTTTACCTATTTAAACAATTTTGTTAGCCAAAAAGTACAAAAATAAAACACTCTTACCTGGTTCATGTTTTTTAGGAGTATTACTCAAAACAAAAACGTATAAGTCACGTCCTTCAACCGATTTGCCTATAGAATAGAGATGTGTAATGTTGGGGTAAGTTTTGTTAAAGAACTTGAGGTATTTGACCATTTCGTTGTAGTGATGGTGTTTGAATAGTTTGGAATCGTGGACCATGAATCCGTATTTGTCGTAAGTTGGAGTGTTTTTGTCGATGACTTCCAAATAGGGGCCTCGCTCTATAAACAATTACATTGAAAATACTTATTGCGTGATATTTGTAATATATATTTTTCATGCAATTGCATCTACGGTTACTCACAAGATGATATTCAGGAGACAATAAAGTTGGACAACAAAAACAACTGTTATCTTTCTTTTACAGAACCACTAATTTTTGAGGTGATTCTCTAAAGCTTGCTCTAGTGAATTAAAAAGGATTCTTCAAAGAGAATTTGTGTGTGTTTCGTGTATTCACAGATTTGAAACAGATTGAACAGCTATTGGAATATTTTCACAAATGTCGTAGAGTGATCTAAACTGAACTCAAATATTCAGACTTGAACCCAAAATTTTATGCAGAATGCAGATTTATTTTTTTTTTGCTAAAACGGTATTGATATTTTCCTAAATTTCCCTAGGATTTGATCTTTCAGTATTTTTAAAAATAAGTGAATATTTTCTTCTCGTTTCTGTGACGCATCAATAATATCATTCATTAATTAGTTAGTTCAGTGAATTTAAATTAGTATTTGTGCAAAAGCAATAAATTAAGTGTAATTGTTATCACCCTACCAACACACAGGACAAAACATACAGGTTAATAAGAAAAAAAATACACATGTTTATTTAAATAAATCATATTTATTTCCTAAAAACGTACAACCAAAATAATATAAAGCAATTAAAAAATATAAAATAAATAAACATATGTATTTATTACATTCACCAAAACCAATACAAACATTTGCTAGTTTCTACGTTCAACAGATCTAGAACATATTCACTTCAATTTAAATAATTTGATTGAAACAATAATTAATTTACCTATTTACAAATTACCTACTAGATATTATTTATTGGTCAATGGGCAAAATATACATGGAATTATTAAATAAAATCCAACCACCACCGAAAAAATCCTAAAAACCCCAGGGTGTAAAAGCCACTGGGTAAAAATTAAATGCTGGATCATAAGGTTCGTTTAACAATACAAATTAATAATATTTGAGCTTCAATAATATAATCTTGCCTTTTGTTCGCTTATTTATCACACTTTATTGCTATAGGCAATTTGCCTTGACCATAATCTAGATTTTTTTTTATCGGATTATGAGACACTATACTCCTTCTCCATCAACTCAAGATAATTATTAATTAAACATTCAACTTGTTTAATGTTAATATAGAAAAAAATGATTTTTTTTGAATAGAAATCTTTGAGAAAATTGTGGCAAATTGTCTAATATTTACTAAATATTTACTGAAACAGTAAATTCAATAATGAATAGGACGGTCTATAGTTTCCAAAAATCACCTATAAATAACTAATATTTAGATTGTTCAAATTAATTTATTAAAAAACTAAAAGTAATTAAAAAACTAACAAGTAAAGCTTGTGCTTGGATGGAATTACCTGGAAAGAAAATGCAGTTTTAATCGATTATAGAGAGCTATGTTTCCTAACAGAGGATTTCTAGAACAAAAAAACGGTAATCCAAAATAGAAATAGAAGCTGAAAATTTTAGTGGCCCCAATACCAGCGGTCACCCGGTTGGTTATTATAATGTTCGATTTTAAGTTTACCTTGTTGAGCCATGTTGAGCTTGAAATTCTGGATGGTTGTCTTGCCTTTACTCACATCCACAGATACTGGCGAAGATGTGACGTAACTAAAACAGGAATGAGAAATGGTTCACAAAATTATCATATACAGGGTGTCCACCTAAGTTCGCAGCATATAGGAAACTTTTTTATTATCACTTTTACGAGAAAAAATTATTCTTTATAAAAGTTTCTGCTTCTTGAAAAAATAATAATAAACTATTGAAACTTGAAATAGCATGTATGTACAGGATGGTCAAAAATGGAAAAATATACAGGGTGTTTCCTAAGTACGCTTCAAAAGTTCGGGATGGTGATTCCTTACGATATTTCAGGAAAAAAAGTTGTCATAAACATTTGTCTGGAAATGCTTAGTTTCTGAGATACAGGGTGTCAAAAGTCGTTTTTTTTAGTTCAAATATCCCTTTTCCAATTTTTTTTTTTTTCAAATTTCGCAGGTTTGTTCGTGATAATGAAAGGTATCTTTTGACTGTAATATGACTTGCTTAATCTGAAAAAAATATCAAAGGTTTAAAAAAATAATGATGTGCGATTTTTTTTCTACTTTTTACCAAAAAAACCCTGTATATTTTTCTGTTTTCTGACCACCCTGTACTTGCTATTTCAAGTTTTAATAGTTTAATATTATTTTTTCAAGAAGCAGAAACTTTTATAAGAAATAACTTTTTTCGTTAAATTGATAATAAAAAAGTTTCCCATATGCTGTAAAGTTAAGCGGAAACACTGTATATTCGAAAAAATAGTTCATGGCTCAAAGAGACCTGTGTTCAATTATATTTGTGAAGAAAAATACCATGTCTCTCTCTGGACAGATGTCACGTCGTTCTCCTCTTCTGCTTGCGTTTTCTTGTTCTTCTTCTTTTTTCATTTAACGTGAAACTTTCATTGAAGTACTTACTCGGGATTCTTGAGATGATGGTCTTACCTTATCCACTGGCTCTGAACAACTTGGGACATGTTTCACTTTTGTTTGAACTTATTTTTAAAGTTTTTGTAAAGAAAGGAAACACTCACTCTGAGAGTTCAGTTTAAGGAAGGTATGTGTTTCCGTACTATGTTTGTTCTTAGTGTAAGAGGTTATCTTTTTATAGGTCCGATAATGCCCAATATTGAACGAAACATGTAACTTTTATGTTGAAATTTTGAGACCACGACTTGGTGTTTTTCTTCACAAATATAATATCATATATATGTCGCAAGGCTTAGTCAAAATGTTCTTGAGAGTACCCAAAATTATTTCAAATCAGAACAGGCTTATACAGACTAAACCAAAACCAACCTACTAGACATATAGGGAGTAAGTAATAAGACCAATTAGCTTGTACCCAGTCTCAGCGAATTTTAATAACATGCAGTGACATGGGCAATATGGGTATTAATTAATTGGTCCCATTGAACCCTAGGTTTCTAGTAGCCTGGTCCTGTTCGTATAGACAATTCTAAATGTAAATATTCTCAAAAAAACACTTTCAATGTATTTCCTTCACCTCATCATCTCTCAGTTTCTTTTTCACTTACCCATTTGCAACAGCATACATTTTATATGTGCCAGGTACTAATAATCTCCAATACTCGCCTCTATTTGATGTGGTAACATTATACTCAATACCTTCGACCACAATATCGGCATCCAAAACTGGTTCGCCTGAAGGATTCGTAACCATGCCTATACAAAAAAAAAACATGAGAATTTTAAATCAAATATTTGTATGCTTTTAGCAGCTACTTAAAGAGTGTTAAATCTCATAAGGCATTCAAGAAAGTATTTATTTATTTATTTATTTATTCAATCCTTAGTCCATCTGATACATTGGTATATTGGATGTGTCGATTACACTAGTATAAACATTAAACACGCAAGAATCCAATGCATTTTATATTTTCACAAGTCAACAATTTATCTCTAGCAATATAGAATAACTCATATTTACTCTCTAGAAAGCCTGACTGATGTGGAATTATTAGGTTCAGGTTAACCTGTTTAAAAGGGGCCTCGAGTAAAATAAAGAATTACGAATTAAAATTATGTTTTTTTTTTCAAATGAAAGCCCGTGTGTTTTACTTTTGAATTTACTTGTTTTTTTAATAATAATAACCCTTTCTAAATTAACAATTACCTTTTGCCCCCCAATGTGTAGCTTCCATATAGCTAAGCATCGACTCCTTGTTGTTATACCATTCTTTAGTTAAAGTGCTGGCGTCGGGAAACTTGCAACAGCTCAGTTCAAAAGTGACTTCGAAGCAATTTGAATTCAGATAATTAAAATCTTGCATACCACCAGCGAGTTCGTACCAGTGTGCTCCGTTAGTGATACCGTTTGGAAAATAATCTCCATTACATCCATTTCCTGTTCTCATTAGGGGATTTTTTTGAGCGTATAATAAAGCCAGTTCTTTGAACACCGTGTCATCGGGGGATTTGCTATCTACGCCAGATTCATTGTCAGTACTGAAATTATTTAATGAAAAATAGAAATTATTGACCAAATTTAAACAAACAGTGTTTATTTAGAATGTAATCGGTATTATTCTATTTCAAAGCATAAATGTTAACAGAAAGCACTTACTCAGAGTTGTCAAATGGATAGCTTGCCACAACAGCGCCACCATGAAGATTTCCAGACAATACGAATGGTTTTGAAATGATCCACGTCATTAGAGCTACAGTTTCAGGTTGTCTTCCAGCAATTAGGCTTTTACCAGTGCCAGTTAAATCATCAAATTTGTCCGGAAAGTCTCTATTCAAATCAACTCCCCTTTCATTTTCTCGGCCTCTTTCATCGGACTTACAATGTCCTTCCTGTAATAGTAACAAGCTGTAGAGAAAAATTAACTCAAAGACATACACTGCAGCAATTTAAATTTATATTCAGTGTCTCTATAGAATTTGAAATGAATATGATGCATAAATTTCTTCAATATTCCATCGATATGAAAAGCATACTGAGGGCCCCATACAGAGGTAGCATAATCCAAAAGACTTCTGACAAAACTGCAATATAGAATTTCAATAGAACATACAGTAACAAAGTCAGAAGTATTACGTTTAATAAATCCCAACATTCTCAATGATTTACCAATGATTGATGTTCTGTGAGAGGCAAATGATAGCTTATCATCGAGAATAATTCCAAGATCCTTTATGTTTACAACTGATGGTAATGTTGCTCCATTAAGATAATGAGAATTATTTATAACTGTACGACGAGAAAATAATAAATAATATTGCACTTAGAAATATTGACATGCATACAATTATCACAACACCAAATTACAAATCTGTGGATATCCTCCTGCAAAGTAATGCAGTCGTTAAGATTAGATATAACTCTGTAAATTTTCAGATCGATCGTCTGCAAACAGGAGGAACTCCAAAGACTGAAAGGAGGGTGCAACATCATTAATGAAGCTATTAAAAAGAAGTGGTACAAGATGGCACAGAAATTTTGTTAAACAAGAAATTGTTAATTTTTACAATTTGAATCCTATTCACAAGGTAGCCGGCCAGCCAACAGAGTAAGGGTTCATTTAAACTCATCCTTTTAAGTTTGGCTATCAGTACATTATGTGGAACCTTATCCTTGAAGAAATCTGTGTAGACAGAATACACCTCCGCTCCACTCTCCATGGCCTGCAATACAAACTGACAATAGGTAAGGAAATTAAGTTCAGTATTTCTACCCACACAGAAGCCAAACTGCTGGTTAATGATTTCAGGAGACAATAGTGAACTTAGATACTTAGTTAAAAGGTTTTCAAAAATTTTACAGATGTTATTGATGATGCAAATGGACCAAATGTCTCCAGATTTATGCATTGGACGCGCTTAAAAATTAGAATTTTGAAGGAATACACTCAAGAATATAATGAGAATACATATGAATACATAATAAACTTTTTGTCTCGGGATTAAAAGTACCATTTTAGTCCCTAGGTACCTATACCAATGTACTATTACCTATGTCTATGTTTTAAGAATATTTAAGAACCTTTAGATAACTAGCACCAATTCTGAATCTGTAAATGAATCTTAAGGCAAGTCAATTTTTCTGTCATATCTGGAAGTGTCTTTTCCTGTTAAGACACTCCAAATTGCAGCACTCTGTACAACAGAAATCTGACTTGATTTCTTAATTTTCTAGATTTGAAGTATTAGATATGTGTGTTAGCTTTAAAATTTTCATTTTTGTTTGCTCTATGGTTGTTTTCACCAATTAAGTATTTTAGGGAAGCCTTCAATGATAAGTATTCCATAAAATGATAGTCTTCCATGGAGAAATGTCAGTTTAAGGAATACTTATCATTAAGGCTATTTGTTGGTGGAAACCATTGTAAGTGCTTGTCTTTATTGGAAGTATTCCTGTTAAACAATAAAGAATTGAATTGAAGGCACCTACCTGTGAACTTGCATACCCATCCGGATTCATACTTGGCAGAATATGGATATCTGTATTATCAACCAACCAAGTAACTCTTTCATTCTTGCCATAATTCAATACCAAATATTGAGCCAAATATATCATCAACTGTCTTCCCAGAGTTTCGTCTCCGTGCATGTTAGCCACATATTTAAACATTGGAGTGAGTACGCTTCTATTGTTCGGATTTGAATTGATGTGCAAGGCCCACAATTCTCTCCCTCTCACCGATTGGCCAACAGTTGATAAACCGACGATTTCTGGATGTTCTGTTTCCAATTTCTTGAGAACGTTGGTCAATTCGTCGTTGTCGTAATACCTTGGATTTTCCAAAAAATCTTCATTTTCGGTTTTGGAGGATTTAGCAGCTGGCAACTCTTGTCCACTCTTAGTAATAGTATCTGTGGCTTTAGTCCACGATGAATTATCGATATTAGTGAGATTGATTTTAGACCCCTGCTCTAAATGTTGGAAAAGATTTGCATTATTTGAATTGATACCAGAGTCAGATTTCGCATATTTGCAGAATAAGAATAAAAAAACGATAGTTTTAACAAGCATTTTTAGATTTTGTAGGGAAATTATTCAGATTTGAAGACGCAAGTGTAACATGTCACTATTTTTCGCCAGAATTAGGAACCGAAAAAATTAATAAAAATAAAAAATTAAACTTTTGAGTTTTCCACTTTTAAAACGTCAACACTTTTTTTTTTATCAGGTGCAGATTGTGAGGTTAGGATGAGGAAATTAACAAGTGTCAAAACTGTCAAATTAGGTCGCTCTGACTTGCCTACTCTTGCACCGACACTTGCTCCAAAATTATTGGATAATTTAAAACTGATTCAAACCCAACTAAAGTCTGGTTTTTTTTAAAGATAATTCCCCAAGTCAAAAATTTAGTAACTATGTTGGCAACACAAGCCTTTTCTACATAAAAAATTTGAAAGATTGACAATTTTACATTGTATTGCCAACATAATGTCATTTTGACTTTTATCTTTAAAAAAAAACAGATTTTACCACAAAGACAACAAATTCCCGAATTGCACCGGTGCAGTACGATTCTACGAGCTCGTGCAGAACTAATTACACTGCGGCACTTTTTGCCCCGAGTGCAAACAGTTCCAGGTTCACACAGCATCCAGTGCACTGCGGACTCTTAAAAGTGAGGTTATGGTTGTTGTTGACTTTCCCAAACAACAACAAACAAAATTTAGTGAAAAGCATCAATTTTCTATCTTAATTAAAAAGAAATGAATCCAAATATTATTCGAAAAGGTACCAAATTAATCGCACAATATCGTTATCAACATTCATCAGCAGAGCTCCATCAGTTTGTGCCAAAACACAACCCCGTCAACGAGAGAGATGTAAAATTACTTGAAGATTTTATTTTTAGTTCGAAAAAACTGCTAGTTTTAACTGGTGCTGGAGTCTCAACAGAATCTGGTACGTCTAGGTTAAAATAAACTTGCTTAAGGCCCGGCTTATTCATCTTTAGATAAAATAAACTGGTAACTATTTGCAAGATAAATTCACAGTTCAATCCAATCCGATTGGTGGTGGATAACTGGCCGACTAATAGGATTACAGATTGCGTTTTTATCTGTTGGATTGCATTACCTGATAGTTTATCAGCTCTAAGGCAAGAATTATTAATTTTCAGATAAACTTGCTGATAATTCAAGATGGCGACGTGGGCATAACAAACTTGACGACCGTGAAGTGCCTTTTTGGTTGTCAGGTGTGTTCATTGGGTGTGTTATTTCCACGACGCCATATTGAATTGAGAGAACGTCAAATCGCCCTATTCTATTGGTCGGCCGATAACGGGCTGACCAATGGGATTACAGATTGAATACCTGACAGTTTATCAAAAGGTGAATAAATCGGACCTAAGTTTGATAAAAGAACCTGTCAAAAAGTAAAGTCCGTCGATTTCGATCTGATATTCCAAAGGAATGTGAGCTGGTGGCTCCCTACATTAGAACGCGATTAGTCACCTGACGTCACACCTGTTTTTGCCATAGGCTTCACCCCCTTGCTCTTCATACGGAAAGGGTCAGATTAAAAACAACGGACAATATTTTATTTTTTCAAAATGAATAAAAATTCTGATTATGATGTAGTTATTGTAATAGTTATTTATACACCAAATGAGTTAAATAAAGATTTATTCATGAGGAGAAAGTAATATCAGTTATAAACAATTATTATTTTTATATAGAAATTTACTTTTTCTTCCGCTTGCTGCTTTATTAGCAACTCTAAGGCCTGGTTGTACCAAATAGTGGTGCAGTTGAACTCTACTGGTACTTGATCTTTCCCATTAAACGGAAAAAGCCCAATCTATAACCCCATTGGTGGGCCAGTTCAGTTATTCGCTGACCAATAGGAATGAACAAATTCATCTTGCAGACAGTTACCAGTAACTTTATTTGAAGATGAATAAATCGAACATAAAACACAAGTATTTACTTAACGTTAATATGAAAATAGCCAATGATTAAAAATCAAAACGCCCTGCTATAATATTATGTTCCAAAATCTTAGGCTTTACCATATAGAAATTTGTTGATGCAACGCGAATAGTTTGTTGATGAGTGCAAAAGGGCCATAGAAGATCGGAACAAAGCTCATAAGGCTTACGTCGAGAAAAGAACAAAAGAAAGAAGATCTGCATTTGAAGAGGCAAGTAGAAGAGAAAATCTGAATACGAGAAAATGCAACCACTGGAACGTGACATTGAAAACAATGATCTTAGGGCGGCTTTTAAATATCTACGCAGTTTGACAGAAGGATACGAACCACGCACAACCCTTTGTATGGTATAAACCAAGTAGGACAAATAACCAGTGATCCACAACAAATCAAGGACACATGGAAAACATATTTCCAAAATTTAGAAAATGAACACATGGATATGCTAGATGCAGGAGAAAGATAGGAAGTGATCAAGACCCCAACGTGGGACTAGGTCAAGCAGGCAATTGGAGCGCAGCACAACAACAAGGCCATAGGGTTCTTATCCTTGAAACAGGGAACCAGCGTTTCCAGGAGAATGAGTGTTTCGTCTTTGTCAATGATGCAACTGATAATATAAGTAATAAAGACGGAATACTCGTTCTCCCTGGAACGCTGCTCCCCCGTTTCAAGAATAAGTACCCAGGAATTGTCAAACTCCCCTCTGAACTGTTCAAAGTTCCAAAGCAAGGGAGGAACACATACCAGCAGAGGTGCATGCATTGGTTGCATGACAGCTGATTTAATATAAAAACCGCGCCAAACGCATGGCAACATTCGGACCTGATACTCAGCACTGTTTAACATTTTGACCTTGGATTTGGCACTCCACATGGCTGTTGATAATGGACCATTCTGACCTGAGGCTCAGCACCGTTCAACATTCAAGTACGAATTTCGGCACTCCGCATCAATTGGCGACCAATGAAATATGCCTAGGTGCCGAATCCTATACCGGAATGTTTAGATGCGAACGGGATATGTAGAACACGCTACAATCACGAACTATACCAACTGTTCAGAGAAGCTCCGATCTCAAAATTATTCATCAGGCTGCAAAAACTTCGATGGGCGGGTCATGTGATCAGAATGCCAGAGAGAGTACTTAACAGCCGAATGTGTGGAAAAAGACCGAAAGGGAGGCCACGGAAGAGATTGGAAGATGAAATGGCATAGGACGCTCGAGAACTGATGGGCGTCAGAGAAGGTCAGGGCCCAATTTGGGCTATAGCGCCATTGGAGAGAAAGAGATAAATTTGTTTGTTTTTATTCACACAATATCTGAAGCTCATACACCCTGGACCATTCACCCGTCGAGGTTTTGTGATAACACCTATTTTTAGGAAAATATTGTACCTTGCTCACGGTTAAGGCTAGAATTATACGTCCATGCATATAGAATTTAAGAACTCTTTATATTTCGAAATTATTTCACATCTTTCTTAGGCCGGGGTTACCCAATTCCTTAATTCTTAATTTTTGTTCTTAATTCTTAATCTTTAAAAACACCAATGTTAAATAAATTGAACTTTTTAAGAATTAAGGACAAATATGAAGAATTAAGGAATTGGATAACTCAGGCCTTACTTGAATATCATCAGGTATCCCTGATTATCGTTCGGAAGGAGTAGGTCTATATGCAAGGACCAATCACAGACCAATCCAGCATATAGAATTTATAAAATCAGCAGCTGCTAGACAAAGATACTGGGCAAGGAATTTTGTAGGTTGGTTCAGGTAGGTGATAAGACCACAAACAAGTTAACTTCACATTATTATAAATTCTCTAGGTTTTCTCAAAGGCAGCCAAATAGTATACATTACTTTGTAAGAGACTTAGAAATAGAAGATAAAATTGTCCATTGCGTGGTTACACAAAATGTGGATAATTTACATTTCAAAGCTGGCAGTAAGAAGGTTATAGAGTTACATGGGACAGGTTATAGGTATGAATCTTTAAGCTAAATTTCATACCATATAATACGACTCTATTGTAGAGTATTATGTCTAAATTGTGACGCAGTCTATGATCGTTCCTATATTCAGGAGAAACTGATGAAAACTAATAATATAAATTTTGACGATACTTCAAAAATGATTAGGCCAGACGGAGATGTTGATATACCACTTGTAAGTTGTAACCAAAACAAACCAACAAAAGGTTAAATTTGTATATTTTTAGGATGTTGTCAAGAGTTTTCAAACCCCTGCATGCGAATCTTGTAATGGTATATTGAAGCCTGACATAACATTTTTTGGTGACAATGTTCCTAAATATCGGGTAGAACTTATTAAGGAAAAAGTTACTGATAGTGACAGCGTTTTAGTTTTAGGCTCTAGTCTTTCGGTTTTCTCAGGTTAGTTTGGATTTGTTTTTACCAAATATATGTATTTTATTTGTATTTTTTAGGATATCGAATAATTTTGCAAGCAATAGAAGAAAGTAAAAATATATGTATATTGAATATAGGACCTACAAGAGCAGACAATCTAGGGGTTTTGAAAATTGAGGCCAAATGTGGTGATATTTTACCTAAAATTAAAAGATGACCAAGATTTTTTATTTGTATATGTAATTTAAAAATAATAGGTGTAAAGAAAAATAATAAATAAAATCAGTTAAAATCACGATATCAATTTTTCTGCCACATTTTCAGCTAACTCTGATTCGGCACTGACGATATCTTCCTCTTCGTTCCTGGCGAGTGGTTTAGAATCAGTTTGTATTTCCTCGTGCGTTTGACTGGTTTCTCTTAGAACTGTCATCAGTTGCGGGGCATATTGTTCTACTTTTTCCAAAAGACTATCAGGATAACCTGAAAACGAATCATTTTTGTTTCAGAAGTAATATGTTGTTTTCTACGACTACACAAGAGGTTGTGCAAAAATAATACACAAATGATACACCAACGACAACTTCTCTCTACTTTGTAGGGAAAATTAAGTTTACGATTTAATTTTCACCCTATAAAAAACATCATCCTCTTAGACACGTGGATGGGATGATCAGAACTAACCGGTATACATTATTAATATCTGACATCAAATAGGTTGACAAAGCTTTGCTCTATTTCCGGAAATAATTGAGAAATATCGATTGTTTCCATAAAATATGAGACCTAGAATGAAATGGCGTCTTTTGATATTGTGCTCCAATGTATTTTGAAATCTAACAATTTTGAAAAATGGGTGAGGACTTACCAGGCGAATAAAATCTAACGATTTCTTCCGGAAAGCACGAATTTATAACGGTTATGTATTCCATAAGCGCGGTTCCAGGTTTGGCGTCTAGTTGTTGGGTTTTCTTCAAACCACCGGAAGTGACGAATAATCTTCTAGCTTTTGGATCATTCGGCAGCAGCTTAAAAAGGAAAAAGTAAATGAATATGGGCAAGCAACAAAAAAAGATATAAAACTATACAGAGTGATTTAGATAGCCGGTCAGAATAACGATTATGAGATTTTTACTTGTATAGAATTGAGAATAGGATAGAACACATTGTAACAATATTGACATCAATGAACAATCAATCAGCGAAGCTTTTGACGAAAAGATATTTATTTCAAAAGAACTCCTGATAAGGACAAACTACAAAACCATTTTTAAAAGAAAATAATTTAATGACAAAGGGATCGATGTTTGTTTGTTTTTTTTTTTCAAATCTCATCTATACATCAGTCTGTCTCGCCTCCAGAAGAAAAAATAGTCACATTCGACGGATGACTCTCGTACATGATTAATATCTGACATCGTTATACGCGATATTTTCCGAAATAATTGAAAAAAAGATCGATTTCCCATCTATTATGCTGGGCATGGAAATGCCACACACCACTTCCATTATCTTGTTTACCCTTACGTTTTTCGCCCGAGTTGCAATTTGTAGATATTATAGGGTGCATTATATCCAGAGTATATTTTACCATTGTAGGTAAGGAAGCAAATAATTTTGTAAACTAGATTTCTTAAGTGCAAAGTTTCTTATAGTTATACATTTCAGATTAGCTATGATATTTATACAAATCATATTTTACTATTAGGTATAAGGAATATAATGGAAGCAAAGAAACCTCATTTTGTAAACTAAAACAGCCTTCAGACGTTCCCTGTTCCACTATTAAGTGCAAAGTTTCGAAAGTTATACATTTCAAGGGATTAGCTTATCGTATTTACCCTTTTATTGTGTGTCCATGTGGTGTACTAGAAAAAACTTGATTTATTGAGGGGATATTGAGGTTGGGATTTAACTTTTTTCAAGGCAAAAAAAAATATCGAGCACTTAATCGTTTCGGTGTGGTTTTCATAAGCTCTTATAGCAGAGTACGTCAACGGTAATAACTCTAGGGATGGCGGGAATCGTTTCAAAATTTATGAGAGGGCTAAATAAAACTCGAAACGAGTTAAAGTAGTTGCAGTGCAGTTTTTTCGCGATATCTACATACAAAAGTAGATGCTGAAATTCATTTTCTAATGTTTTCTGCATTATATTTCACTTCTCAGTCAAAATGCATGACTTTATTCAATTTCCAACCTTTGCAAATAATGTTTAGCCCTTGTTTAACCTTACTATAAAGTATTGTGAACTAGCTGCTTAGGAAAGGAGGACCCGGTATTCAACCTTATTAATTTAATTGCCGATTCGGTCGGATGTTTATTGCAATTCAGCAATAAACGGATATAAATTGCGCTGCAAGCCGCAGCAAAGGCAGACTTAAACCAGTGCAATTACTTCTCGTTGGGAAAGCCCCTCTGGAATTAAGTCTCCCAGTCCCCAGTGCAAGTAGCTCTCGTTGGGAAAGCTCCTCTGGGTATCTTCAGCCTTATCGTTGTCCAGTGCAATTACCTCTCGTTGGGAAAGCCCCTCTGGACAAGGCATAAGGGTGACGGTAACTAATCTACAGTCCCCCAAGCAGCGTTGACGTGTGGCTCCCTATAAGGGCCCCAGTGCTCGAAGGGTCATGCATCTTATAGACTAGCGTACATGTAAGGGCATATTTGGGAAAATATACTCCTGGACAAAATTATCGCACCACTGCTTATGGTGGTGCTTATGTGCAGTGGTACGATAATTTTGTCCAGGAGTATATATATCTATATTTTTATATAACTTGAGCGAGTTTCTCTCCATCAACCCCCAAAGTTACAAACCCCCCATGTCACCCCCGTAAAGCGGGCAGTTGTGACATATTTGGTGGAGGCGCCGTCTCGAAACCGACGCCGTAACGCGCCTTTGAAGCAAGGCAACGCCCAAGCACGTCACCAGAAGGTACGTTGACAAGAAAAATCCAAGACAGCGTGGCGAAGGTGAAGAAAAGATTCGTAGATTTAAAAACTAGTGACCGTGCCATCGTGGCAAGAATAGATGACAGACAAACCCAAATACAATTTGAGGCCAAAGAACGCAGCAGCAACGACACCAGTAGAATTATTTAGACCACCCCATAGGAGCACAGAATCTCTTTCTGCCGAGAAGATCACTGCAAAGATCACCACCAGAGTCGCCCAGTATCAGTTCAGAGCACATTACCAGTGAGAAAACCAAGCAAATAATCAAACAGGCTACGAAGAAGATAGTGTTTTTGGTAGCCCACCAGACCTTACCTCTCAAGAAGCACCAAAACCTAGGCAACCATCAAAAAAGGAAGTAGAACAACCGGATATAATGGCGAACACCACAATAACTGACGCTATGACAGCGGAGAAACAGGCAAAGTTGCCTCAGTTTATCAGCCCTTAAACCTTCCAACCGTGTAAAACCAGCGCGATCGAGTTCCTATAAGAACATATGACAGATCAGCGAAAGCAAATGGATGGGACGAACCGTAACATATTTAGACGGAGCCGCAAACCTGTGCTTTCAGGAATATAAGCGCGACCACCAAAACAACAGCTGGAAAGACATTGTCAAAGATTTTTCAGAGGAATTTGAGGATACAGATCACCAAAAGGCACTCAAGAAAAAAGTCGAAAACAGAAAACAAGGTCAAGATGAGCCAGTCAAGGAATACCTGTACGATTTACAAGTATTATACCACAATTACACACATACATTTGATATACAAGAATTTGTAAGGATTTTTAGCAAAGGGTTGACGGAGACAAATCATTACAATTACTACTGGTTAACAAACCTGCCGAACAAGCCACCAACATCAGTTATACAATTAAAAGAAATAGCAGGCACGATAGACAAAGCTCCAAAGAAAGGTGCAACGCAAGATACCCAAATTACCAGCTGTACGGAAAGAAATACAATCACAGACACAGAACTAAAAATATGTCATTATTGTGGAAAAAGAGGACATGTAATGGCCACCTGCGGGATCCGAATGCAAGGAGAATACACAAGCACAAGAGTACCAATATCTAGCCAAACGTGTTATAATTGTGGGAAAACAGGACATTTCGCAGCTGTATGTAGGAGCCAAAAGATGAGAAATCATAACCCCAACTCAAAAATTGCCACCGTTTGTTACAACTGTGGGAAAACAGGACATACTGCAACAGTATGCAGAAGCCAGCCTCAAAGGGATAAATTGTATACGCCACGAAACAACAAAAAAAATCCTGGTTGCTTTATTTGTGGAAAACAGGGTCACTATGCAAACACCTGTACAACCCGACGCCAAAACCCAAACGAGAAGGGATGGCAAAATTAAAAGCCCCTGCCATCCTTACCCTGGGGAAGAACAATAACATAGGAATCTTGCACATCACAAACTCACGTGATCCCTGCAGCTTGGACAAACCTAAAATCATTTGTGCTCAACCCTTTGACTACATCTACGCCAGTAAAGTTCAACAATATACACGAATGTATAAACCCGAACTGGTCGCTGACGATCCCACATCGAAAGCAGCTGCCAAAACTTACCATTGGACGACAGAAAGTCACAGTATAATGATGATATGGAACACAGTTTTAACAGTAATATTGATATATGTTTTATGGAGAAGACCACAACCATTAATCCTTACACTCTTCAACCCTTGTACAGGCCAAGACTCGGGCCAAGATGACCAAAGCCAACACCCACCAGAACACGATGTAATATTCTACACTACATGCGGTCTGTTTGTAATATTTCTCATGTACCTATTGGGAAAAGGGTTTATGTACCAACAAAATAAAGCTAAAAAAGAAAGTTTACCACATAAAACCAGAAAGAAACAATACGGGCGTAGAAAACCACGAATACATATTGCGAATCACAAGCCGTAGACCTGACGGGTCGCTGACATGCACTTTTCATAAAAATGAGTGCGACGCAAGCACAACAGTAAATGACGACACAGAAGTACGTGATGATTAGAAACAAAACACCATAGGTGGACTTAGTGGAACTTTGATTGAAATAATAGATATTCTCTGAAAGCGAGGGAACAAAAGGAAAAAAAAAACACTAACTCTATGTATTACTAAAAATAGATTATGACAAGCGGTCGCCTAGCCCGTACCACCGCACAAATTAAACAAATGGCTCCACAAAGGGACCCATAAAAAAGGGTACGTTGGATCCCTGGCACAGGGGGTGGCCACTCTCCAACCACCCTCACGTACATTACTACATAATTCTGGAAGAAGAAAAATATATATAGGTATTTAAATAAAGAAAAAGCAATAGAAGAACTTACTGAGCCAATATTAGGGCACTCCTGCTGTCCTTTCATGGAGGGGGGCATATGTCAACTAGCTGCTTAGGAAAGGAGGACCCGGTATTCAACCTTATCAATTTAATTGCCGATTCGGTCGGGCTGCAATTCAGCAATAAACGGATATAAATTGTGCAGCAAAGGCAGATTTAAACCAGTGCAATTACCTCTCGTTGGGAAAGCCCCTCTGGAATTAAGTCTCCCCAGTGCAAGTACCTCTCGTTGGGAAAGCCCCTCTGGAATTAAGTCTCCCCAGTGCAAGTACCTCTCGTTGGGAAAGCCCCTCTGGGTATCTTCAGCCTTACCGTTGTCCAGTGCAATTACCTCTCGTTGGGAAAGCTCCTCTGGACAAGGCATAAGCGTGACGATAACTAATCTACAGTCCCCCAAGCAGCGTTGACGTGTGGCTCCCTATAAAGGACCCCAGTGTTCGAAGGGTCATGCATCCTATAGGACTAGCGTACATGTAAGGGCATATTTGGGAAAATATATATCTATATTTTTATATAACTTGAGCGAGTTCCTCTCCATCAACCCCCAAAGCTACAAACCCCCCATGTCACCCCCGTAAAGCGGGTAGTTGTGACAGTATTGTTGCAGCGTTTCGGAAATATCAATGACAACTATAAGAAGACACAGAGTGGCAGGAGTAATTTGCAGGATTTATCAAAAATTCCATAATATTATGTGATTTTTATTCCCTCCAATATTAATTCTAACTTTCCACTTTCCTTTATAGCTGTTAACATTTTGATATCATTATTTATACAGTAACAAATGTAATCTCGTGACAATATGACTAACAGGTATAATAGAGTTCTGTAAATATTGGGCTAACATTATTTATCTTTAATTAACGCGTTTTCCGGTTATCCTTTTTATCAGATTTCGTCAAACTCCAAAGTAAAATATGCTCAGAAAGATTATTCAAAGTCTAATCAAATTCTAATTATCAATATTGCACACATCAGTGCCCTCCAGGGTAGGTATATATGGCTAAAATTAAACCAATTTATTAGCGGTTATATAAACTTGAACCAATAAATTTACGATTTCATGCTAGAAGTAATTTCACTTCGTCGCACGACATGGCTAATATTATAGTCGATAAATGTTTTCAATTATTAATTACGCAACAAAATGCAAGGATGAGCTTGAAACAGAGAGCCCCGGAAAAGGACGATGACAGTGTAATGCAGCAAACATAGACGTCATTCTCCGTATTGCGGGGAGAAATGGAAAATAATATGTACGTAATGTAGAAAATAATTTCTACATAATAATAAAACAAATAAACACTGACGCAAATTCTATTGTTTTAAGTCAAAGAAATCACTTCGTGACAATATTTACTCTATATTTGCCCGAGAAGAAAGAATAAGTTGTGGAAAAATTTGCAATAACAAGGTGTCCACAGTTTTGAAGCAAGGAAAAATTAACATCCCATGCATTTAGAAACCAACCCCCATTCGGGTGGTGAATGAGGACAGACTATAAATTTTTATAACAAAAAACTACCACACCACTCAAAATATTTTCTATCCTCCTTTTTTAAATCAATCGTTGTATCACATACTTAAGTGATTATCAAATCGGTAATTTATTAAAGAGTATTCCATCATAATTTCTCTTATAAGTATTCTAACACCCGAAAAGCATTAATTTTGTTTTTCCGAAATCGAATTCCAGTGGCGTTCTTGGCTATGGTCCAAGCTCACACGATGGTATGTTAATAACAATAAATATAAAAAAAATGCTGAAGATGTTCCAAAAATACATTCGAATAACGCCACCGCTTAAACAGAAGCTGTTGATCAGACAAAATTAGATTTTATGTTGTTGTAGGTCAACGTTATTATTATTTTGATTACAAGGCGCGAAGGTGTGCCTTGATTTAAAAAAAAAATGGTTTTGTGTAAGAAGTATACAGGTTGCAGTATAGGCGCCCACACGATACATATAGACCTTGGATTTATTATGGCAAACGAAAATATCTTGTTTTGATTTGTATTTATTGATTTATTTTGTTCAGGAGATAAGTTGACAAGGCGAACTGATAAAAAAATGTACGGAAGTATATTCTACTGACAAGAGTTGGTAACTAGAGTTTAACCTTACTTCCATTCATATCTTGTAATAATAGATAATATTTTCATGAGAACTTTTATGTATGTTTATGTATCATTTGAAACTTATCGATTTGAAGGTTTTGATTGCACCTGA